CACTACAGAGTTTCTCACTCCAAAGACGGGGTGACTGCTTCAAACCATAAATGGACTTGTTTAGCCTGCAGACTTTTTCTGGTCCACCTTGCTTGAATCCCTCTGGCTGTTTCATATAGATGGTGGTGTCGATGTCCGAGTTAATGAATGCATGTGAGATGTCAACAGAGCGAAGCTCCATATCATCAATTGCTGCTAAAGCAAGGACAAGACGTAATGAGGACCAGCGCAGAGTGGAAGCATAGGTTTCCAAATAGTCAAAACCAGGTCTTTGGCTGAAACCCTGAGCACAGAGGCGGGCTTTAAATCGTTCAATAGAACCATCAGCATTGTGTTTAATCCGGAATACCCAAGTAGACCCAATTGCTTTCTCTCCTGGTGGGAGGTCAACGATATCCCAAGTGTTATTAGCAAGATGAGCAGAGATTTCATCATTCATAGCTTCCTCCCACTTGAATGCTTCTGAACTGTGCATTGCCTCTCTATAATTTCGAGGTTCCACTTGTTGAGTGGAGATTGACGCAAGTTCAGCATCCCCGTAGTAGTCGTCATTAGAATCATCAGAGTCATCGTTAGGAGCTGGTACACGGGAAGAGGATGGTTTTGTTTTCCACCATTCACCAGGAGGCTTACGGTTACGTGCTGGACGTCGTATAGCAATGGGCAGCTCATCAGATTCATCCTCAGTCACAGGAATATCCGGACCAGGTGTATGTTCGAGTCGAGGCGAGTTAGGCGCATTGCCCTTATCAACTTCGGAGTTGGATTCAGAGTCTGATTCAGATTCATCAATAGGGATTGGCAGAGTGAATAATTCATTGGGGGCACTCGAAGTCACTTTAAGAGGTTGCTGTTTCGGAGTAGTTTCAGGAGGAACATAGTCTTTACGAAGAGTTGGTTTATCTGGTGATTTGGATGCGTACATGTATCGTTCATCAAAGTCTGCACGTTCACTGATGATAACCTTCTTGGTGACAGGGTTCCAGAACTTCCATCCTTTAACTCCCTCAGGGTACCCAATGAACACACACTTTTCCATATGAGAACCAAGGTGTAGTCTCTTGTCCTTTTGAACATGCACATAGGCCATGCATCCCCATACCCGAAGATTCTCCACATTAGGTTTCTTCTTGTAGAAGACTTCATACGGAGTCACATCTGGAACAGCTGATGTTGGGCAACGGTTTGTTAGGATTGATGACTAATTCCATGTTAGGATTCAATCCTGACACCCTAATGAGGTGTAAATGGTATTATGCAAAATTCCATCAACCAAGGCAAAAGAAGATAGTAAGTCCTTAAGAAGTGTTGATTGGATGGCCACTGTTACCATATGTAAGACTTCTCATTAGTTGAACCGAGGTCAGATAGCTCAGTTGGTTAGAGCATCTGGAATATAACCAGAAGGTCCTGGGTTCAATCCCCAGTCTGGTCACTTTGTTTTCAGTCATGACTTTAACAGCCGGTGACGAGGAGCGAACCAGAGAACGTTTAAGTCCTAAGGTTATAGTAGAGAGTACTTCAAGGCGTTGAGCCTGAAGACTTAGAGAAGAGTTAAGTTGGGAAGGGAGATCTAAGTTGATCTAAGTTGATAATTAAACTGAGGAACTACAGTAGCGTACAGGCAGTATTTATATCTACGGAACGGCGCATCGGTGCGGAGCGCCAGACTAACTACTAGGAGCTATACGAGTAGTACCTGCAGGGTAGAGTAAAAGGCAATAAGGAGAGACTAGAACGAAAGAGTAAAGACAATAATGAGAGACTAGAACGAAAGGATATGTGTAGCGAGAAAGAACAATAAGAGAAAGATTACAATAAAGGTAGATCTTCGGAGTACCGAGCGGCGGGATGGAGGCCCGAGGCATGGACTTGACACTCACTGCAAAGAAGAATTTCATACCTTGCAAGGAATGCGCTCCCATATTGCACAGGTCGCCAAATGCCATGAAAAAGCTGAGGCCGAAGCTCGGGCCTCGCCTCCATCTAGTCCCGACATCCCTTCTTCGTCAGATGATTCTAATAAAGGATACAAAGTGGAGGACCCTCTGGGAGTTGGCTTGGAGTATAATACTACTCAAGCTTCTCCTGTTCCGCAACACCACAAGTGTCCTTATATAGAAGAAGCTGAAGACGATTCTGTCAACAACACAACGTCAGCATATGATCCGAACTGGTTATATGAGCAAGTATACCCTCGACCAGCGGGGGTTCCCATCAGACACTGCCAGAGCTTCTTTGAAGAGTATCGCAGTAAGCAGAAAGCAGAGGGTATGGAACCATGGGAGCCATTTGCGAGTGAAGATGAGTGGGAGTTGGCACGTTGGTTGATGGAGTCGGGAGCAAGCCAGGGAAAAATTGATTCGTTTTTGAGGCTAAATAAGGTGGGTCCTCACTGACACGTTCGCAATGCTACGTTCTGATGAAAAGGAACAGATCAGAAACAATGTCAAGCCGGGATTTTGGAACAAACGTGCATTTTTCCAGTATATTGACCGTTTACCTAGAGGCCCTGCGTTCTCATGTACTCCGATGCATGTGGTTGGTGATTTGAAGGACAAGGACGGGAAGAAATGTACGGAAACACTTGAGCTGTGGCATTGTGATATATTAGAATGCATTAAAGAGTTAATGGGAAATCTGTCATTCAAAGAACATCAAGCATATGCTCCCATACGTCAGTTCCGTGAGATGAAGGATGGTATACCATACAATCGACAATACAGTGAGATGTGGACTGGAAACTGGTGGTGGGAAGTGCAAGTAAGTTTCCTTGAACATCGGATGAACAACAAGCTCACTTGGTGAATGTAATACAGGACCAACTACCGAATGGTGCCACTGTGGCTCCGATCATCCTTGCGTCAGATGAGACGCAGCTATCAACATTTAGTGGTGACAAGAAAGCATGGCCACTGTATCTCACTGTGGGCAACATCGAGAAACGTGTAAGGCGAAAACCAACTTCCCATGCCTGGATCTTGGCTACATTCCTGTCTCTAGTTTGGAGTGTTTCTCAAAAGAACGGCGGTCTGTAGAAGGCTGTCAGCTGTTTCATGATTGCGTGAAGAAGATGCTCCAACTGTTGATTGAGAAAGGTATCCAGGCTGTTGAAGGAGACTGCACTTGTTGAAGTTGAAACACACTGGAGCGCCCTTCAGCTAACCCAAACAGTATGCCACCCAGCTCAGTGCAGAGAATGTCAATACCTTAATACAAGCTCAGTAGGTTGTGCTACAGAGTCTTGTAGTTGCTCAGTACTCCAATAAACACAGTAACAATGACCAGAGTCAATATAGTATGAGTATTGATTTGTATCTTTCAACTATAGTAGGAATACAGGTTTGTTTGGTCTTGTATGTACTAGAAACGCATGAGGCGTGATAATGGGTGTCCACAATTGTGCGCACCTATGAAAACTAACTAACTACAGTAACACTAAAGAAATAGCTAAGTTATGAGTTGTAAAACTAAGTAATGATGTCTGTAAGTACTTTATACACTAAGTAAGTCACTACAGTGATAACTAGGAGTGATGAGGCGCTGTGTAATGTATGTAGAAAGTGTTCTATCACTACAGTATGCTCAACACAGGCAACCGAAATGGGGTGTAGTGATGGATTCATCCGTTCGATTTATGCGTTGTTGGCAGCGTATATTGCGGACTATCCTGAACAGTGCTGGATTGCTTGCTGTCGAGAGAACAGTTGCCCCCAGTGTAAAGTGAAGCCACGGGATAGAGGCGAATGGAAACCAAGGAGTTCAGTGTATCGTGATCCAGAGGACGTTATTGCAACTCTCGCGAAACAGTCACAAGTGTAAGACCTGGGTCAGAATAGGCCTTAAGGTGGGGTTTGATATAGGAAAGTTTATGTTGTAGCGTGCTAGGAGCAGACTGGAGCTCGAAGGGAGCTACGGGAACCGCGACCGAGGACAGGAATGACCTAGTAATAGCTGGGGCGAATAGGGGTGACCCTTGAGGGGGTTCCTAGGAGGTCCAGAGAGGTCCCTAATGCGTAAGGAGGTTAGGTAGAAGTAAGGAACCTTGGGATATTGCGTAGTAGGAGTTGTACTCGCTAGAACGTCAATATAGGATTCGAATAGGTTGTAGATAGGAATGAGTCTCGAGGGGGTAAGCTCCCGAGAAGGTATACGCCCGGGAGGGTAGGTTCCCGGGGACTGGCTAGAGGATGGACGTCCTCGAGTGTTGTAGGTGGTAACGGAGAAGCGGTACGTGGTTCGACGTGAGGAGTAGCTTCGACGTTACTTAGATCAAGGTCCCGAAGCTTAGGGAGTGGCTAGGGAGCTCGAGGAGGTTTGGGCAGGTTAGCTCACCAAGGCGGTAGGCGTTTGGGAGCTTTAGTATTGTTCGAGGGAGCTCGGGAACTCACTCGGATGGCTTAGACGTGAAGTAAAAGCGTGTATTGGACCGTATAGACGGTCGAAGAGACGATAGACAAGAATTGAGAGAAACAGAGATGAAGAAATAGAGAGTAAAGAGAATTCCGTATAGGTAGCAGGTACAAAGGGACAGGGACTGGACCTATGTAAAGGGTGTGTGTTCAAAATATACCAAGCTGGACTTCTGGACGCTACTGGACTGCTTAAATACATATAGGGAAGTTAACAAAGAGACAGAGTACGAAACGGGCACTTAATGGGGTTTCTAAGTACATGAGGACGGACATGAGGACGGAATGATGGGCGCATGTGCGGGGTTCCAGGACCCTGTCGTGGAGTGGTTTGGTTTCATTGAGGGGAACTAAGGATCGTGAAGGTTGTCCTAGCAGTAAGGAGGTTTGCAGGGCGTTGGGAGTGTTCTCAGGGGTTCAGGGAAGTGAACTGAGGAGGTTGGGAACTATGTTAAGGAGCTTATGGGCTATGGAATTCGGGGCGAGGCATGACAGCAAGGCTATCACCCACAAACGTTCATTGATCAGAATCTCCGACCACTCAATCCGTTTTGGAAGGACTTACCTCTCTGCAATATCTTCAACTCGATGACTCCGGACCTTCTCCACCAGATGCACAAAGGTGTCTTTTCAGATCATACCTCAAAGTGGGCACGCTCATCTGTTGAAAATGGCGACAATGAGATTGATGCCCGTTTCTGCGCCATGCCCACTCATCCATCCCTCCGACACTTCAAAAATGGTATTTCCGGTGTTACCCAGTGGACGGGTGGAGAATACCAGTCTATGGCAAAGGTCTTTCTGGGAACTGTCATGGGTGCAGCTGATGATGGTGTGGTTAGGGCTATACGTTGTGTCGAGGACTACATGTATTACGCACACTTCTAATCACATTGTGACCAATCATTGGAGGCCATGGAAGCTTCATGGGGGGGCTTTCATAAGGAGAAGCAGGTGTTCATTGACCTGGGTATCCACAAACAATTCAACATTCCTAAGATGCACAACGTATGTCATTACAGCTGTTCAATTCGTCCTCGGGGTACTTTAGATGGATATAATTCCGAGACAACAGAGCGATTACATATCGATCTTGCTAAGGCAGGTTATCATGCATCCAATAAACGGAAATACATGGTTCAAATAACAGTTTGGCTGCGTCGTCAGGAGGCTGTGCAATGATTTGCATCATATCTTCAGTGGGCGGTGCCAGGATACGTTGCAGAATTAACAGGTGAAGAAGAAGCTGATAATGAGGATGAGGACAAAGAAGAGGCTGAAGAAGAGGATCAGGACATTACCGAATACAAAGTTGCGAAAAGACCGCCATTACGGGGTACTGTGACTTCCATAGAGAAGGATTATGATGCTGATTGGTTCATTTGGTACCTGAATGAGTTCTTCACTGACTACTCCATTGATCGTGCTAACGGAGACCCACTCACCAATGACACTGTCTTTCCGATCTACAAACAAATACGCCTCAGTCTTCCATCTCTACCAGAGGCTTTATCCGAAAACCAAATAGATGTTGTTCATGCTACACATGCGGAACCGGAAGTTTGGACATGGAAGGGCTTGACACCTGCGAAGCCAGCATTGACAAGTACTGTACTTGTTTGAGTGGGAACCAATGATCCATCAAAAGGACCACTTCATGGTGCGTATTCAGAATAATAGCCTGATTTCAGTACTAACAGTTATTTTCCAGGACTCCAAGCTGCCCGTGTTTATCTCCTTTTCCGGTTGCCACTTCACATTGGTTCTTACCCTCATCCTCTGGCATATGTACGATGGTTCAAACCCTTCAACTCTGCTCCAGTCAAAGACAGCCTTCTTTTCAAGCTCTCGTATTCAACACGTATGCGAGAACGACATTGTTCTATTATTCCTGTCACTCGAATCATGCAAACGTGTCATCTATACCCGAATTTTGGCCGTTCGGTCAATCCGCTTTGGACATCTCATCAAATCCTTGATCAAGCTCCCTCCTTCTATCTCAATCCATATCTCCGGCACCGTGACTTCTACCTATTCCGATATCAAGTCCATCTTTTCTTGAAGGCCAAGGAGGATTTTGCTCGGGAGATACAGAGAAAGAGAGCACGTCGTGCATAGGTTGCACATTTTGTTTCATTATTTTCCAAATCGTAGTTACTGCTACCTTTACACAGAACTTGAATATAATGCTTTTATTATAATTACCGACATTGGGGACAGCTATCAATTGCCTATCTATCTATCACCTATTTGGTCTATTGAGGGTACATAGTTCGAAGTCAAAGTTGTAGCAGCTACATGACACAAACACTGACTATCCATGCGTACTAATCTACCACGTTTGTAGGCCATTGCGTGGTAGTACTACCGAGCCTATGGCAACTATCAAACCGAAACCGACGACTACAGAAAACTACATCAAATTGCCTGCCGTGTCATAGTACTTTTAGTGTTTCCTGATGTATTGACAAAAACTTTTCAATATCCTTTGAATTTAACTAATAAATTGACAGTTACATATTTTTATCTAATCTACATGATATCTAGGAGATTTCCACAGCTGAAAAAGATGCCATCCCCCCAGTGAATATTACTCAGAAACATTACATTATCTATCTATTGTTAGTTGGAGGCAAAATCAAATATGTATACACTGGCAAGTGAGCAACACAGACAATGACTGCTATTATGCAGTGTCGAGTCTAGATAGATACGCGGCTCCTGTAGCTCCCTATGGCTCCAAAAAGCATGCCTCCAGAAAAGAGCTTTGTTATCATAAGGCCGAGCATTGTTAGTACCCATGTGAATTGAGGGACAGATAGGTATACTATGGTAATTTAAGATATGCAAAATAAGACGGGATCTCTTGCCCACCTTGAACCACTGCAGTTGTTGTAGAAAAAATTAGATAGATGGATTCCTCATAATTAAACACAGCTTTTGTGAATTTCTGGGATTTTCTGTGAATTTCTTGCTGGTGTCGGGCAATGTCCAAGCAAAATTATGGATATGCAACCGGTCGGCCTTGGCCCGGATATGATTGCACTTTTTTCTTCTTATTTTCCTTGTCATGCTTCATCCACTAGGTCTATGCCCTTCAAAATTCATATTTAGGGCCTTCGGAATATTGTCTTGGACCTCCATGCATTTTTTAAGCCTTATATCTTCACCCTCTGTTCCTGGATGATTGATGGGAGCCATCAATGCAGTCTCGAAGGTATTCCTTCTGGTACTCAACATTCAATCCATAAATGGATGAAATTATAGGCTAGATATGAAGTATAACATCTGATGATTATCTCAAAAAATCCCCAAAGTGCTAGAGCCAAGGGATGCTTATGAAAAAAGGCATTTTTGACAAGTTGCATATCTTTGCACAGTGCATATCCATAAATACCATAGTAGTGCACAAAAAGATTTATATAAAGGAAGTAGATACAGAAGGAAATCATGCATCCGATTTCTTCTTTTTTTTCTTCGGTGAATCACCGTTCGTTTGGGTGCTGCTAGCAGCAGCCTTCTCGGCCTTCCGTGCCTTTTTCCTAGCTTTTCTTTCTTCTTCCGTCTCCGGCTAGAAATATTTCAGAACATGGCATATGACACAGTAAGGAGACAAGGATGCAAACCTTGGACATCGTATCTTCTTTAGTTTCACCATTGATGTTGCTCTCTCTCCGCTTCCTCTTCTTCTCCTTTGTTTCCTCCTCCTCGCCATCGACATCCATTGCGTCAGCTGAATCATGTGCCTTCTCCTTTGCAGCTTTCTTCTTCGCCTTCCGTTCCTCTTTTGCCCTCTTTTTTTCCTCCTTCACATCTAACACAACCTTGATGGCCGTCTCCATAGGAGACTCACGTTGTGTTGGTACCAAATCAGCTTGTGTGTTGTACACTTGTGTTTCGCCTGACATTTGGAACTTCTGCTGCTTCTGGCCATTATCCCCAAACCTACGAATGCCTGAGTGTCCATCTTGATATTCCAATGCACGTAACCGAGACTCAAGTTTGGCGCGGTGGGAAATACCTATTGAGGGAGCGTTGGGCTCTGATTTTTCGTCAGAATCAGCCAGGGCATCGACACGAGTCGATAAAGCAGCTTTCGCCGCAACCATGCGGGCCATCTGAGACCAGCGATCAACAACGGCGAAGAAATGTGATGTCAGAGTCTAACTCACTTTACCCTTCAGCTTGGGAGGCGCTTGACCGATCAGCGAAGCCTATCCAAGATGACTTAGGACCAATCAATCGGCGAGTGCACGAAGGCTTACATGGTATATGAGACCATATTTAGGCGTGTCGTGCTTGGTTTTCAGGGCACGGAAAAGTGCTTTCTCCGCACCCAATATTTGTACCGTACTTGCAGAATGTTTAGCCAAGTTGATTAAACTTCCGGCATGGCTGATTAATCGTGCGCCAACAAGCTCGCCAACAAGCGCGGTAAGGTTGGGTGCAATCGCAGTCATACGATTACGGAGGTATTCCGAAAGTTGCGTTCGATACGCAGCTATTGATATAACTTGCTCGCATAGTGAATGGATGTGTTCCATGTCGGAATCGGAAATTTCAGTACCCATTGATATTTCCGCGGCAGCTTTAAGGACAGCTTCGAGATCTTCGGGGAGAATAGAAGCGAAGGTTGTCGAAGACGCATTCGTACGGAAACCTAGGGTGACCGTCAACCAGATAACGAGGGACACACACGATTACGAACCCATTGCGCGGACAACTTTAGCATAAGCAATGTTGTCCACAATAATTTTAGCCATTTCAGGGAAATGCCATCCATACCATTCCTTCGTTAGAGCGTCAAAATAGTAGAGGACGGAAGCCTCAAGGCCATGCTTACTTTGACTCTCATTGCATAGATGTTGATTTCCTTGTCAAGGTCATCCAGTAGAGCGATTGCCTGCACCACCATAGTGTCGACCTTGTCTGGAGAGAATTTGATTTTAAACCTGCATGTTCGTCTGAGCAAGCGGAAAATAAAATACGATATCAGATCGTCCTACCGGGATAGGGAATGTCCAAGACCAAGGCTCATAGTGGCGAGATCCTTGGGGTCTAGCCCATCTAAAAGAGCAGCAAGTTGGCTCCTAATACCTCTCCATATTTCCTCATACTCAGAGTCAGACGCGGCGACTTTGATACTGAGCTTTTTCGATATGAATGTTGCTGGAACGGGAAAAAGTATGATCATAGGGAGATTTGATTGCCACCGCTTGAGACGTACCAAGGTGTTTATCCACAACCAAAAGGGAATCCTTTCCTTTACCCTTCCCTAAGACCTCATCCGTCAAGAATTTTTTGAGTCCAGGTCCGAGCTTTCCTTCCTGGAGCGCAGTCATGTCTTCTACAGCCGTAGCTGTTGACGTGAACCGGTGCAGAGCCTTCAGTTTCAATCTAAAGCTCATCCTCATCAAGCAGATACTCAGGCTCTCGAAATTGGATAGTTACAGTTTATTTGCAGATTCTGGACTCTCAAATTCCTTCCGAACTTGACTTTCCTCCATTTTCGTCACAGAGTCTGACATCTTGAAGAGGCAGTAGCCCATGGCCGTCTCGTAGAGGACCAACATGACGAATATGGCAGAGAAAAAAAGAACGGAACGACCGACCGCGTTTACGGCTTAGATGAAAGCTGGATGAAAGAGTTGTCGACAAAAAAATCTTGAAATTCTCACGGCCCAGGCGCTTTCCCATAATACCGGCATCCTCTTATCTACTGAACAACTTCAAGCCTTCTTCAATCATGTTACTATCAACGCTGGTAAAAGTTGCCATCCTATTAATCCTACCTATGTTTGTAATGGGGAACAATCCACAAATGTTTTTGAAAACTGATTCTCATGAACTCCGTCCCGAAATCAACTCTTCAACCTCAAGCTCTAATGAGATCAATTTGCAGAGGCTCGATATTTCTGCCCTCAATCTAGATTCCTATGCGATCCTACAGCATGTTCAGTTTCCGAACCATCGAATTCGTATCAAGAAGACTGTGTTTTGTGACCCTACCGTGAAGTGAGCCCTCGAATAATTTGTATCGTGCCAAATCTCTGGAACATTTCTCGTGCGCAGTGTCTACACTGGATACTTAGACGTTGATGCGGGTGCCAAGCACCTTTTCTTCTATTTTTTCGAAAGCAGAGGTGATCCTGCGAGAGGTGAATGTTTATCTTCGTCTATTTGGCGGAATCCTTTACACGTTTACGTTAGACGATGTTATGATGTGGATCAATGGCGGTGAGTATGATTCGTCTCCTGTCTGTCCTAAACATATCACATGTGCAATTCGAAGGACCTGGTTGCTCATCCTCGACGGGACTCTTAATGGAACTAGGTAAGTAGTAGACGCGAATCTTCAACGCTGATTGCTGCTACTGATGTCTATCTAGGACCTTGCAGTATTGACATGAACTCGACGTCGAGTAATGGCACCCTTTGGAATCCTTACTCCTGGAACCAGGCGGTCAATATTTTCTTCTTGGACCAACCGTTAGCCAATCACAGCTCATCGCTGAAAACCAACTGAATTTGACTAACTTGCAGTGTCGGAGTCGGTTTCTCATACGCTGACTACGGGAAAACCATACAAACCACCGAAGAGGCCGCAAAAAATGTCCATGCTTTCATCACCATTTTTTTTGAAACTTTCACCCAGTTCAGTGGAAGACCATTACATCTCTCAGGAGAATCGTATGGGGTTAGTTGCCGTTTCTAGCTTATGACGGACTCAGAAGTTAATAGTTAATCAGGGAAGATATCTTCCTGTCTTTGCTAGTGAAATATATGATCAGAACATCATTGCAAGACAAGAAGGGAGGACAGAGTTGAATTTACAGAGTGTCATTATTGGCAATGGCAACACCGGTATCTCAACGTAGGTCATTCCCTGTGTAAAGGGGAAAAACTTGCTGATCCTTACTGCAGCCTGTATCGTGGCCGATACGAGATAGAATGTGGTACAGCGGCTTTGGAAACGCCAGTACAATCCATAAGCAAATGCGTTAGAATGAAGACGGCAGTCCGTCATTTTTGCATTGCCAATTTTAGTACTCTTACCGTTGCTTCACCTAGCTTCCTCGATGCCAGCAGCGCACGCGACATAGCTGCCTGGATCAGTTTGACCTGATTGACTGTCGTGCAGCAATCAATTTCTGTGATAGTGAGATATCTGCAGGAATGTGGGCCAGTGGTAAGCATGCCACATAATCTTTAGATTTTCCTCCTAGTGCCCGTGACTCCGATCAGGTCGCAACGTGTATGATATCTCTAAAGTGTGTTTATAATCTCCCTCCTAGCTGATACATACATTATGCCACATTTTGACGCTGATGGATAGATGTGCGTTGGGGACAGCTTATGCTACGATGAAATTACTGCTATCAAAGAGTACCTGGATATGCCCAAAACTCGGGAATTACTAGGTGTTGAAACGACTAATAATTTCACCTCTTGTTCTCCAGATGTAGGTGCTGATTTCGGGATACATATGGATAAATATAACACCCCGACCCAATTTCACGTGGCCGGGCTCTTGGACAGAGGTGTTCGTATCCTGATCTATGCTGGAACCTATGATTGGCAGTGTAATTGGATATCCAACAAGATGTGGGTTGATGCATTGGAATGGAGTGGGTCCGATGAGTATAGCAGAACGCAATGGAGAGATTGGGCTGTTCAAGGGCGGGTAGCAGGAGAAGTGAAGGCTACTCCGTTGCTGACGTTCGCCACTGTAAGAGGAGCGGGACATATGGAAAGTTTTTTTTTTGTTTTTGACCCTGTGCGCATTTATTGACTTGCAGTGCAGGTCCCGCACGATAAACCAGAAGAGTCCCTTGTGATGATAAAGAAGTGGTTAAGACACCAAAGTCTATAATTCTGTAGTCTCCCGAAAGCGGATCCTAAAACCTCTTGACACTTTGGGTGGAGGGTATTGCATTTACTGGAGTGAGTAAGTAATGTAAGTAAATCTACGTACAGTATACATACTTGAATCATCGTCCAACATGAACATTGATCTAGGTACTTAGTCTATCTTACATAGCAGGAGAGTATCCGATTCTCAGTCTGATCTTATAGTGTAAGGAGTGACCGTGCCAGCTTTGTTCTATTGGTCCTACCCGAGATAGAGGTAATGGTAACTGTTGGTGTCATCAAGTATAGTTCAATCACTTCTTCGGGTCGCTGCAACGGTCAAAAGCTGGGGCATCGGGTATCTCGGGTATGTTGCAGGTTGGTTACAGTCAAGCAAGTGTAACGAACGGTATGTATAGCGAAGGCCTAAAAATCAAAGATATTCTACAACTGCATTGCACAGATTCTCGAGGGATTTAAATACAGGCCAGCCAGCCATACCATCAGGTCCATTCCACCTTCAAAAATTGGCACAGCGTCCCCATGGTAATATCCATTACCTATTTGCCGAATCAATCACTCCAGATTTCGGGTTTTCTCAGGTTTTTTCCCATGTCTGGCTTATACAAAAAGGACACATCTGATCAAATACTAACACCCCTCTGGTTTCCCTCCTTCTTCTTCGTTCACCCCAGTGAGTAACAATTTTTTTCTCCTTGCACAATGCTAACTGGCAGTCGTTATTAGCTTCTTCTTTTGGCTGCCCGGTTGCACCCTCTTGGTCACAACTCTTCGTTCGGTTTTCCAACGCAATTCCATTCTTTTAAGCAGGCTTTCAGTTCGGCGGCAATTTATCGACTAAAAATGCTTTTCTCAACCACTTTCCTTGTAATGGCAGTGCCCCTCGCAGTTTATGCTGCTCCTCTCCGTACCACTAAACGTCAAGTTGCTGCTATTGATGTTACGGTTCTTCGTATGTCGTCTCTACTTCTTCGATCAATAAAGCTTGAGCCTTCGATCCTAGAATTCGCGAACACACTTGAACAACTAGAATCTCAATTCTATGCCGCTGGTCTGTCAAAGTTTCAAGACTCCGATTTCGCAGCTGCCGGGTTCACTGCAAGCAGCATCGCTATACAACAGATCACGAACATTCAATCTGATGAGGCCACTCATGCATCTATTCTCGAGGTATGTACATTATCAGACAATCAACATGGGTCATGTCCAATTAAATTTAACTTCATTACAGGAAGAATTAACCGCTCTTGGTCAAAATCCGAATTCGACTTGCAGTTTCAACTTTGACTCAGCACTTACCGACGTCACGACCATGGCTGCCACTGCTCGGGTCGTTGAGAACCTTGGTGTTATGGCCTACCTTGGTGCAGCTTCTCTCTTGACTGACCCGCAACTCTTGGAAGCTGCTGGATCAATTTTGACCGTGGAAGCCCGCCACCAAACAATTCTAAATGTTCTTTCCGGAACTGGCACTGCGATTCCGTCTGCTTTCGACCTTGCCTTAACGCCTAGCGAAGTCCTTGCTGTTGCTTCTCCCTTCTTCAGTGGAACCTGCGATCTTGGCATTCCTGGTTAGCAGATCGTTTCGACCTTGTGATAGTCTCTACTAAAATCGCATCATATTCTACAGCCAACCCAACGCTTACGGTAACCAACACTGGTTCCGTTGGACAGGGTACTTCCTTGACTTTTTCATCGACAGCCATCAATTCTTCTGTTGACACGAGCGTGAGTTGAACAAATCATTTCTTGAAAAATTTGACTCACCTTCCTGTTAAAGACATTGTTCTGTCAAATGATGCTCGGCGGTAACCCCTTCTCGATCTCTCTGCCTTACAATCAATGTGTCGTTCCCAGCACCGTCAATGGCCCTGTCGCGATCTACGTCACATCCGATGATAACCCCTTGCAGAGCAACGTCGTGAACCGGGCTAGTGCCAATAACATCCTTGCTGGGCCCACTGTTGCCTTTATTGACGCGCAGCCCGAGACTCTTGGCCAAATGGTTCGTTCAAGTGGTACTGGAACCGCTTCGGCCAGCAGTTCCACGCAAACCATTAGTCCTGATGTCGCTGCATCCATCGTTAGTGCGCAAGGGTCAGCTACCGCGGCTGGAGCCACTGCCACCGATAGCACCTCAGTCTCCGCTACTGACTCTTCAGCAGCAGCAGCTTCCACTGCCAACTCTGTAAATGACAGCTCTGATCCATCTGCCCCCTTCCGTGATGATTTCACCGGTCTCGCTCCTGGAAACGCCATCAATGTTATTGGATGGAGTAACATTCCTTCAAATTGAGCGCTTTTGACTCTTAGACTGGAGTCGGGGAACAGAGTTGACCTCATTATGTTTAGGATTGAGGCCAGAGGAGTTTTGTATCTCATGGACACTGTATGGACACTATTTCGATTTATTGCTTTGGAAGAGGAGGGGTGATTGATACGCCCTGTATACCACTTATTTTTTATGTCTGTTTTGTACTCGGGCGTACAGCGCTATCCTCGGGGTGCGTACATAGAAGGGTGGTGCGAATACTTCAGTACATGTATGTACAAAACAAACCATGTACTTCGTACTTCGTGAGGGTTTGGACACCACATAACACAGCATGCCGCCTTGCTTGAGGTTCATTTCTATCACATATTAAGAGGCAACAAAATTAGCCATGTGTGTATATGTCCTTTATCCGGATGCAGTGTTGTACAAATATGATTCCATATAACAGTTTGTCCACATTAGCAGACAATGACAGTTCCTTGTTAAACCAGCTCCTAGTCTTCATCACTGTCGTCGCTCGAAGAATACTCGTCTTCATCATCATCCGCACTGTCCCCTCCGGCAAACTGCTTCAGCGATATCGGCGGACCCATTGAAAGCACGGGCGACTCCTCAGGTGGAATGGCCATATCCAGAAAATTTTCCGGCTCCTGCTCATCGTCCTCCAGGTGATTATTTATTAATGTTTCAAGTTCATTGATATCGATTTCCTCTCCTCCGTCATCTTCTACCGTCATGGGCCCAGCAGCAACAGAGCTTGGAGCAGCAACTTCATCCCATTCTTCTTCCTCTGAGTCAGAACCCGCAGCAAGCGGCATGGGGGAAAGAGGTAACGGAGCAGCTGGTTGAGACCGAGAGGTTGACGAGGATGGCTTGGATTTGGGCTGGACGAGTTTGGAAAGAACGGGGATAGGCGGTGGTTGTACCACTGCATCTGCCATTCCAGGCAATTCGAGGCGAGAAGGTGATGGACCGCGTTTAGACTCCACAATAGGAGGAAGGACAGGTGCAGGGGAAGCTCGATTTCGTTTTGCAGAGCGCCCAAATTCCAGTGTCTCGTCCTCTGCATCTAAGAGAGTAGGCGTTACTCTCTTGCTTGCCTTTTTATATGTTGAATTCGGGGGTATAGAGGTGGATGTAGATGCTTTAGTCGTTGGCAGAACGAGAGAAGACGACGTCTCTTCCTGGACATGAGCTCTATGAGGTAAAGCCTTCTTCGGACGCTGAGTGGGAGAAATTTTGACTTGTACATTTAAGGGAATTTCTTCGTCATCGTCATCTAATTCCTTAGATTGATTCGAGAGCATAGAGCTTGAGAGAAAGTCTTCGATTTTCGCATTTGAGGCGTCTGCTGTCTGATGCGTACTGGTCGCTGGAGTTAAGGCTGGAGGAGAATTCACCTGGGCGGAAGGAGAGCCTGTTTATGGATGGTATCAGCGGAAGCAATACGATTTGTGCGGAGATGTCGGACGTACGAGAAGGCCGAGTAGATCCAGCCCGCTTCTCCGGTGGACCGAGTGCAATGGAGGATTCGAGTTTCTCGAGTGTGTATCCCTATTAAATATAATTAGTATAGTACGAGAACATAATGTGGAAAACATACCCCAGTTTCTTCATCATAAATGAGCACACAGATCCAATCCTTCGAAGCTACTTCATTTCCAGGAAATACATAAATTTCTCCAGGCTGCAAGTGGAGAGTTATTTGAGAGTGGATATAAAGTTGAGGAAAAGCGCACTTGAGAACTGGCATGTTCCACTGTTACTGAGCTAGTCGAATTGTCATTGGCGCGTCTGACTTCTAGGGAACCGGGTTTCGTAGAGTCGATCAATGAAGGCTTGAAGCCGTCTACAAGACACAAAGTTTATCGAGATATTATGAGCTGGTCGCAAAGCAGCTTACACCGCACAGAGTAAAACTCGCGTTCAGGTAAAATATTTCGTTTTGCAGGCTGCTGACCAGGTGTATTGTTCTTCCGTGCTCTCAGGGCTCGTCCAAGCGAGGAGCCAATATTCAACTGATGCCGACCGGCAGATGGCGTCCATGAGGTATTCGAGCTTGAAGGCATACGGAGAAGCTAGGAAGAGGTTAGAGGAAGGATGATGGAGGATGAAAGGCAAGAAGCGATGACGGTCATTTGGCTGGACAATGTAAATCTGTCCTTTTGTGGATAACGATCGAATTGCGCCGGTCCGGCAGTAACCCTTGAAAAACGTTTGTCCACTTCGCAACTCTTCTAAGTAAGCATTGTCCCTTGAATATGGGAACGACACGCAGTTCAACAAGGTACGTTAACTAATGGCAAGAGGTTGAGGCTGATACTCTTCTGTAAACATGGAGACAATCGAAAATCAGTCTCATTTCTCCTCCTCCTCCTCCACCTTGTGTTTCTTCTTCTTTGACTTCTTCGTACCAACCGCCTCTTGCTGATCCCTCGTCATCTCTGATCCCATATCCTTCCGCTTCCGCTTCCTCTTCTCTTCTACAGTCGGCGCAGCATCTTCTGCCGGTGCCACGAAAGCTTCCGCGCGCTCTGCACGACGTTTTTCCATACTTTCGGTTTGCTGAAACGATTGATAAATAGATGAGATATACAATGAGCCATTCAAACCTACTTTTTGTCTCCGTTGAGCACTCTCCTTCGCAATCTTCTCGTGTTTCTTGAGGAAATACTCTCCAGATTCGAGCTGGAGATCGACCTTTCTCGGAAGCTGCGCTGGAGGAAACGGCGTATACACTTTTTTCTTCGCTGCCACATCAGCTGAAGATTCTATCGGGAGGCCAGCAGCTGTCCGCGCAGCATTCTTTGCTTCGAGCCTCTCGTTCTTCTTTGCAGTCTTGTCGGATGTCTTGAGATGGTTCTTACGGAATTGAGGTAGGAAACGGTCCCAGGATTCTGTGGCGAGCTTTGGATCTTTTGCTAGTTCGCGCCGAATCATGAGCTCCTTAACAGTTTATCATGTTTAGTTGTACGATGTGAATCTCAACGATGAATAATTACTTTGATACGATAGATGGGATGTATATTCTTCATGCAATCGAGGACTATCCGTCGCACCTCCTTGAGCGATTTGTGTGGGCCCATGACGCTGACAGTGCTTCCTTGTACTAGCACGTAGCATTGTGTTAACAGCTCGATAGCCTGAAAGGTATCTTAAGAACGATGTCAAAGCCAAAAATAGTACACATACACACCTTCAATGTACTGCCGTCTGGTCCAATGATCCTCTGTCGTCTCTTCACAAACCGCTCCTTATTCCGGACCAAATTCCCGATTTTGATGATATCACACGATATATCGTCGTTCAAAATCTTCACGGCTTGTGTCACAGCAACACCACGGGAGAGGAGCTTGATGAGGTCCCGGGCCTTGAGGATGATGTAGGGGTCGTAGGTTTTTCGAGTAGTGCGAACTGACATGGAGCCATGAACGAGATCAAGGGTACATGCTACACCCTGGACGCCAAATTAAGTGTGCAGAATGAGTGTGATAAAGGTGCAATAGCATACGTGTGCTTCTAAAGCCCGAGTCACTGCACTCCAAACTTCACGCAGATACTTTTCACGATATTTCGGGAAAAGTGTCGCAAAAGATGATTCTTCAGCAAATGCACCGGCTTTGTTATCCGCGGGCATAAACGGGTCTATTTTCCACTATGCGTGGAGTCAGTAAAGGATGATTGGTCCAAAACTGAACCCTACACTAACAGGAGATGTAAATAAGTAGGCTATCCTTCCACACAAACGAAATTCAGCTCACTGGTCGATATCATCGGTATCCCATGCTGCATTGAAAAGTCAGCTTAATGCGTTACAAAAATGTCGTGCAGACTTGCGTTTATCTTTTCGGCGACTATTGTTCTTACTCACTACAACTTTTTCGTCGCTGGACATGGTGAAAAGAAGAGAGCTTTCGCGGCTCAATCGGGCCGGTAAGTAGGCGCTTTCAAAATAACGTCTTGGCTCTATATTGTATACTGACTGTCTTCAACCCTCTCTCTAAAGTCCCTGATCGCGTCACTGATCGCCTTATCCATCTCTGCGGTGGCCACATTTGCACTCTGACTCCTCGTATATCCCCATCTTGTTCGTTCTACAACTGCCCACCACTCAGCTTGAAATGGATGCCCAGGGGCACCCAGATACCCCCACGGCTTGGCGGTCGGTGGTTGAACATATAAGCTGAGCACTTCTTCTACAGAAGGATTTACTGGGCCAGTGAAATGTACGATTGCTGGATCCGGAGTGTCTATCGTGGGGTCGAGTAGTCGAAGCATGTCTCTTTCAGGAGATGGGTACCTTGCGTAAGTACCCAATCCCTGAGCATTCCATTTTAGACTCAGACGCTTCCATTGGCTCGCGTAGAAAGTGTTCAGTACGTCTTGATCACGAAATTTCGAGTCCTTCATCGACCGCCCAAGTTGCTTCAACTCTGCGCTCTTAGAACGCATCTTCGCCAAATCTACCAACATTACCCCGGCGTTGAAGTATGGCATTTTGACACCCATTTGATCATGTCCCATTGGATGTCCGACATCTGGAGCTGCTGCTATTGTCTGACCTTGCAAATCTGTTTGCCATAGCATCTCGATGCTGGTTCGAATCAAGGTGTCTGCATCTAGGTACAAAACACGCTCTATGGGGAGGACCTCTGCTAGATCAAGCTTTGCCCAAACTGGTCCTAATTCTTTCCCTAGACCCTCTGCATTGAGTGCAATAAACATCATTGTCACGTCGTTGGCTCGCAATGGATCAATTAACCGGAGGAATCGTTGTTTATTCTCTTCTGATAGTCCGCAATCAACAATGTAGATCGTGATTCTTCCTGTTGTGTTTTCGACTGTGCTGAGAATGACAACTGCTGCGCTCATGGCATACGCCGGGTCAACAACAAGAGCGACGTTGATCCCGTACCCGAATACCTTCTTTATCGCATCTCCCTCGTCTTCAGACAACCCTTCTTTGTCGACGAGGAAACCAATCCTCATCTCACTAGTCTTGCGTAGCACCACCTGGTAATGCTCTGGCTCTGTAAGCTTGACATACTCCCCTCGGTGGAGGTCCAAGAATGTGTCTATCCCTTTCTTTGGGTGGTGTTTGCTATCCTCAGGCTCCTTGTCCCAGTGATAGTCATCAAAGATGAATATTGCACCTTTGCGAGCGAGTCGCCAGGCTAGCTCGCCGTCGAGGAAGGTATCATCGGCTTCATGGGAGCCATCTATGTATATCCAATCAAACCCTACCTGCTCACTTCCAGAGACACCTTCGTATTCTGGAACGTTTGCATCACCAGCGTTGCCCAGTGATTCCTCTTTCAAAATCTCTTTTTCGAGGAGCTTCATAAGGGCCGGGACGCTGAACTGTGGCAGGACACGGAATGGCTTCCCAGTGAGCGAAAGGTTATGGTTGATTTTGCGGAAGCGCTCTCTCCCAGCTGACGTCCGGAATAAATCGAAATGGTCGATACAAACTATATCAGCCCCTACAAAGATAAAATGAAATGAACTGAGTGAACCAAGGTCTCGGGCAACTTTTTCACCTTCGAAGTCCATCTGATCATTCCTCTCTGAGCCAGCAATTCCAATGTCAGTTCCTTGGCCGCAAATATTCTGCAACAAGAATACCGCCGACCTTCCCTCCCAGGATCCGATTTCCAGAATCCGAGGGCGAGGCGAAGTAATAAACGAAAAGAGATTTCTCCAGTGTGGGATGTTGTGTGAGAACCAGTCCTGCGCATCGGTGAACTGAAATTGGTTTGCGCGGTTCGGGTCTACATTGAAAGGGATTGTAGAATCCAGTTTGGTACGGACAGGAAGATTAGCGGACATCATGGCTCGCTGTACAGAAAGCGTTGGGTGTAGCTAAATTGATGCTTGTCGATGGATCTCCAGACGGCTTGGCTTTTGTACATTTCTCATTCCCCTTCTCTTGATTATTGACGCTACAGTCACGGTCTGCAAATTCAAGATGCTGATTGATTTTGGAACATGGACCAAAACTCTGAAACTGCGGCTGCGCTACAGTTCTACCCGCGTCTAGTCCTTCAGATAACAACTCTTCTTCGCCTGCGCACGCAGTAGAGCTCCTGAACGAGCTGAAAACAACCCACGATAGCTTAGGCTTTGCTACGATATTTGGGTTTGACTCCCGATGTTGAGCAGTTTTCATTAATGGTTCGCTACGTATGCGGCTGGCAAGATTGCTGTTAAACTTTTGCCTTAGTATGTACTATCACGTATATCATTGGATCGCTTCTGACTATCTGTCCTCGATATTTACCAGACTGGTGCTGGTTCGAAGCCTTCTGGAAGCTCTTTCAAACCCATAACCCTTATCAGTCATTGGGGCAAACTGTGCATGGGCCATTCATTGTTGCTTTTGAACCTGTTCCAAAGATCCATTTCCAATTGCATTCACTCTCACTGTGCTTGCTCCATCAGAAATGCGAGAATGGCACTATATTCGGTACTTCACATCACCAGTGGGCGCCCTACGATGTAGAAGGGTGTATTGACGCCTCGTTCAACAGTATCATATTGCTCCTTTATCTCTGTTACTTTACTATTGTTGCAATAGGCTGCTTTCAGATGCTGCGATTCAGAAATATCTCTTACCACAGGGTCTGCACAGGTTCTAGCTCTCAGGGAGGTGATATAGCTATTACATTCCCCACAGAATCGAACAGTTGCTATCTTTGTTGGGCGTCAGAAGACTTGTGCTCCTGATACCCACGAAGTCTCTCGCCCTTTTCAAGGTGCGCCTCTGTGACACGTACACATATAAAGAGCCCACCGGTGGGTGTTCAAGGTTCGCTCAGTTCCGTAAATTGGTCATACTGGCACAATGTCTTCCAGCCTTGACAAGCCGTTAAAGCTCATCGTCATAACCGGAGGTCATGGTTTCATCGTAAGTGTTTGCAAAACTTACCAATGGTATTCACGCTCATCAATCAGTTTCTCTAGGGGTCCCATGTCGCCCGTCGACTTTATCAATTGAACGCGGGCAAAATACGCATCGTAGATATTTCGACAACGCCCGCTATAGACTCGGACGGCCCCATCTGCCATGAGTTCGTGTCTGGCGATATCTGCGACATTAATTTTTGCGATGAGGTTGTTCGAGGGGCTCATACAGTGATTCATTTTGCTGCCAACATGGGCGGAATGGGTACTATTCACGATGGGAATAGTTTTGCTATTTACCGCCAGAATTCTATGATGACGACAAATACTTTTCAAGCCTGTATCTCTGCAGGTGTAAAAAAGTTCTTCTACGCCTCTTCAGCGTGTGTTTATCACGAACTACTGCAAATCAGTTCCTCTGGCCAGGATGTTTCGCTCCGTGAGGATGATATTTTTCATTCTAATGAACCTCCAAGACCCCAAGGTTTATACGGTCTCGAAAAGCTGACTTCGGAATTCTTGATACAACAGCCTGTCCTGAATTTCGGGCTCGACATTCGCATCGCCAGGTTTCATAATATCTACGGACCAGGAGGGGCGTGGAACAATGGTCGCGAAAAGGCACCTGCTGCACTTTTGCGCAAAGCTCTAGTTTATCGGCCTACCATCAGCCCTGGCGTATCGGTAGAACCTTTCGAAATATGGGGTGATGGTTCTCAACGCCGTTCATTCCTGTATATTGATGACGCCGTCGAAGCTATCATCAAACTCCTTGAATCGAATCATTCAAAACCAATCAACATTGGGTCTGATTCTTCAATCTCTATTCAGGAATTAGCTCGACTCGCTTTGAGGATCGCCTCCATTGACCCCAAAAGTGTAGTCTTCAACCATGACATAACAAAACCTGTTGGTGTTGCGTCTCGGAATTCGAACAATGTCCTAGTGAATTCTGTTTTGGGATGGTCTCCAACTACCTCATTGGAGGACGGAATGAAACACACCGCGCAATGGATTGAGGGGAAGATGGGGAGGCTTCTGCTACAGGGACCTTCTACGTCGATCTCAATGCGAGAGCAGATGCAACAAAGCCAGCTGATACACCTATCTCCTGAAGCCACGATTGTCTTCGCCGTTCTCCTACCGATCACGTCTCGCGGCAGTGGTGATCCCGCCCAATGTCTTTCTCACTTGAGAAAGTTTGCGGAATCACTAAACCGGACAACCCGCCAGCGGGATACGTTCGGATTAGCAAAGACCAAATTTTGTGTTCGGATCTACCTTGCCATTGACGAAGACGACGAATTTCTCCTGAAGGGAGCCAGAGACGGCTTCAACGAAGCCGCAAAAGTTTTAATTAATGCAGGCTTTCTACGTACGAAAACGCTTCTGTGCAACCATCCCAGAGGGCACGTCTGCAAACTTTGGCGTGATCTTGCTAAAGCTGCTTGGGACGATAGCTGTGACTATTTTGTCCTTATGGGTGACGATGTTGTCTTGAAGGATCGAGGATGGATGGAAGACGTTCATGCCCAGTTCCAGCGGTTTTCCGAGGACCAAGCTGGTGTTCCTTTCGGTTTCGGATGCGTTTCATTCACAGATATCACCTTTCCTGGGATGCCTACATTCCCTGTTATACATCGTACCCATCTTGATATTTTCAATGGCGAGGTCATTCCGTCCGTTTTCATCAATCAGGACGGAGATCCATTCCTCTATCAACTCTATCGAAGGTGGGGTTGCTCGACAATGATTGAGAGCAGGATTTCAAACGAAGTTGGAGGAGAATTTGCCGCTCGCTACGAGAAGCAACATACGCAAGACTGGACATTCGAGATTCTGGATTCTGCCGTGTTCGCAATAGAATGTTGGTTGCAAGACCGGGCAGAAGGAAACAGTATTCTAATTCCACAGAAGCTCCTAACCTTGGACATCGTGATTCCGTGTTACAGAGTTGATTCCGAAATTATCGATAGGATTCTTCAACTGAAGACTTCAAAATTTTGCAGCACGATGTTCATCATCATTGTAGATGACCCCAATAATCCGAACATCGCTGTCCTCAATCAACGACATGGACATCGCCCTGATGTTCGAATCCGTGTCAACTCAGTCAATTCGGGTGCGTCTTATTCCCGTAACCGAGGTATGCAAGAGTCCGCTGCAGATTGGGTCCATTTCCTCGACGACGACATTGTTCCCTCCCCTGACTTACTCCTGGAAGCCGAAAGTATAATACGCCATAATCCAAACGCCGCAGGGTTCGTCGGAAACACATTCTTTCCTCCTGCAAACTCAATCTTCACTGCTGCTTTACACCTCTCAGGTGTCACCTACTTTTGGGACATCGCTGATAAAATTAGTACAGATGTCCCATGGGGCGTTACAGCAAACATTATCGCTCGCAGAAACGTTGCAGATGGGGTAAAGTTCGACTTGACGTTCCCGAAGACTGGCGGGGGTGAAGATATCGATTTTTGTAGGAAAAAGCGCGCGTATATGATCAGAGAAGGCGGGGAAGGATTTGTTGCTGCTCCAAAAGTGAAAGTGACGCACCCTTGGTGGAAGAATGGTGCGAGATCCTACTGGCGCTTCTATATGTGGTCGGTAGGAGACGGCGCACTGGTGAAGCTGTACCCGGAGCACTGTTATCGTGTCTGGGTGCCAAATAGCGCAGAGATGATGTTGTTGTGGGTTCTCGCTGGTTCGATGATGATGTGTCTTGGAGAATGGCCTCGTTTTGCGTTTCGCGGCTTGCTGAGCACCATCTTTGCCAGTGTTTTCCATGACTGCTACCGCCATCTCTACCGAGATGTTGAACGATGCCGGAAAATGGACACCAACGTTACTGGGATATTTTGGGTCATTGCGGTCATCGAAAGCTCGCTGATTCGAATGTTCAGCGAAATGGGTAGAGTCAAGGGGATGTTGACTAGAAAGGAGTTTCAATTGTTGGGAAAACGGTTCGATTGGTTCACTGGTCGCTGGGGAGATGGACCGTTGAAGGAAGAAACGATGAATGGGAGACAACGTATTTTCTTGACGATCGTCATATTGCTCATTGAGCACTTTATTTGAAAACCTCATTGGCATCTCTTTATACGAAAAATGTATCATTACCTAGAATTACAACTTCAAAAGTTGATATTCATCTATGTCCTGCTGTAACCTGCACAGAATTGCACCGGCCCGGCGAACACGATTCACTTCATTCCTTCTTACCACCAATTCCGTATCCGTGTCCGTCTCTCTCATTTTATCCTTACGATGGATATCTCTACGACAACCGGTCCTCCCATCGACGACCCATTCTCTGAATTCGATGACCCCTCAGAAGCTCTTTCTTACGACGAAACTCTCCCTTATGAAGACCAGCTCCCTACCGCTGCAGAAGCCGCGTTAGCCAGCCGAATAGGGAGCACCAAGGTGTATCTACTTTCAGAATCTTCTGCGGTAGTAGTAAGAGGCGGCAAGGTGCGCCTGTACACAAAACTTTTGCGCTGAGAAGACCAGCAAAATAAATATTTTTGTCCCTTTTGCTTCTTTTTTTCGGTTGAACTTGATTTCCCCCGTGGTTTGGAACTCTCTCCTCTTGTTATCTTTATTTGCGCTTTTCTGAATCTGGAAGCGGAAACGAAGTGACGATACGGAAGAGACCGAGGAGACTGAAGAGGCTGGTGTCGACGTTGAAATGGACGATGGTGAGTGAATTTGCTTCTTCTCCCGATTCTTGTAGTCACAATAATAACAACGAATCCATCACAAGACCCCACATTACGAGGGAATGCCCTTCTACTCACTGGAGTCCCAATTTCCAACCTCCCTACCGCCCGTCTATTCGCTTTCGCAACGCACTTCGACGCCCACCCAATGGGCCTAGAATGGGTTGACGATAACACCTGCGTCCTTGTTTTCACCTCAAAAGCCGCCGCGCGTACTGGTCTCCGCTATCTCAGCAAATCTTTCGGTGAAGAACCCGATCCAGACGGATACATCACCGCGAAACCAATTCCCATAGCCTTCTGGCCTCCGGAAGAACGTATAAATCGTAGTCTAGGAAAAACCCAGGGTCAATCTGTTATGAAGGGTCCCATTAAGATGCGTTGGGCTAGGACAGACGACGTGAAGAAACGTGGAGCCAAAAGTGATTCGGAGTTTTACAAGAAACATGGTCGGATGGCGGGGAAGGAATTGTTCAATGGTCGTGAACTTCCGATGAAGAAGAGACGAAGGAACGACGAAGAACCGAATGTTCTTCTTCAGAAAGAACAATTAGACGACGAACTAAACGAGTTTCTGGCAGAGGGTGAGGCAGAAGATGCCACAGCTCTAGATCCACAACCTCCGCCATCGAAGATGCGGTCCGACTATATTGCTACTGATGGACGCACTCTGCTCGGAGACGCTTCACCCAAGCCTGATCTAGTTTCACGACTTTTTGCGCCTCTGCCCCGACGCGCTCAGAAAGGTCGGAACTCAAATCATCACGGCGGGGTCAGTTTGGAGGACAGGTTATGGTCAGATAAGTTTGATTTATCTGAACGCACTGTTGCAGAGCAGACGTCGCGGAGCGGCAGAGGAAGAGGGAGACGAAATAGAGATGGTAACAGGGATCGACCAAAGAAGAGCCAGCAGGAACTGGACGATGAATTGGACACGTTTCTAAGAGAAGAATGAATTCATATTAGGAATACAGGATGATGTTCTAATTTTTTCTTTTTTTACGATGTAATTGTTGAAGATTAAACCAGCTCTCGTTATACTATATGGCGTAGCTTGAGACAAATTCTTGTCGTATTTTATAAGGAGGGGAGATAGGCCCATCATGCTTAATGGCCGCCTGGCGAAATGGCATCGCGTCTGACTACGATTGTCATTTGTTATCAGGAGATTGCAGGTTCGACCCCTGCGGTGGTCATTTTGAAATCATCATAGTTTCTTCTATTTTTTGTTCTAGCCACATTTATTCTCCAACACACTTGACGCAGCTTAGATTGTCATCCCGTTATTTATTGGTATGATCTTATCAACTTAATCTCTCCCTCCCTTTTGATATTCTTATTTAATCTCGTTGATCTCCGTCAAAGTCGAGGAGCATTCGAGCTACATAATGCAGACTAAGGTCTGCTACATAAGGTTCAGCTGAAAACTGAGTTAGAGTTTTTCTTTATAATCCCATCAATTCATCATATTGATGGCCGAACGTTTTACACGTGGGAGGAATAATCAACGAAAATTTATTTCTCACAGTCAGGAAACACCCAAGTCAACCATTGAACCAACGGATTACTCAACTGTGACAGTGGGGTTGCTTCTACTGTACATCTAGCCTCCCGTCCTGTGGTTATTTACTTCTTCTTGCGCTTTACATCTCACCTTTATCTTATCTCCACAGCCTCACAACCTACGTGGGTCTGTGCAGGCGACACGGATACAAAAGTACAGCCAAATCCACGGCAAACCTCAGCGGCAGGCGGTGCTTTTCTGTTTTCAAATTTTCCCCTCATCGACCCTTAACTTTCCTGGTCGATCATTCCCCATTTCACATCTTATCCTGTTCCCGAGAATCCGAGAAACTAGGAGCTTTCTTGGCAACTCTTCGCAATTCTTCGTAACCTCATTGGTTCTGAGGATATAATATGCTCCGCCAAGGCCCGCAATCTCAGGTTGCAGGTGGAGGGATGGTTGGACACGGAGGAATGCAAGGCGGAATGCAAGGACAGCCGATGATTAATGGTGCGGGTTTTATGGGTAATGGGATGAATAGCATGAATAATGGTATGGGCAACCTGGGCAATGGGATGAGTAATGGTATGGGTAACGGTCTAGGTAATATCGGTATGGGTAACCAACCAGGTCCACCAAATTCGAATTCTGGTATGCGTTTTCCACCTCAACAGCAGCAACAACAACAACATGGACCTCCTCATCATCAACAAGGAGCAGGTGGAGGCGGATTACTTCCTGCACCTCCCTCGTTAGGGGGTCAACCTCGCGTATCCATGCGTGGTCCAAATCCTGGTATGCCTGGGTTTCCAGTTGGAGGAGGAATTGGAGGATTAGGCGGAGGACCTGGACCTAATACCTTACGCAGAGTAGCATCGCAGCCGCAGCTCGGTCCAGGTGGCGCAGGCAACTTGGGTATCGCTGGAATGACCGGAATGGGTGGAATGCCGAATATGGGTTCTATGGGAGGTATGGGTGGAATGGCTGGTATGAGCATGAACATGGGAGGAGGAGGAGGAGGTATGGGCATGAACCCCCAAACGAGCATGCCAGCTCAACTTCGTGCTGCTCATCAACAACACCAGTTACGACAACAGCTTACAGGACCTGGACCTGGAGGACCTGGTGGTGGACCGGACGGTGTAATGATGGGTAATATGAGAACGGTCCCTCGGCCAGTTATGAATAGTTTATCTCAACCTTCAAATGGCGGTCCTGGTGGTTCGTCTTTTGTTCACTAGTTTCCTTCTCGATTTGCTTGTAAACTAAACGCCCTACGATACAGGTCTTCCAAATCGCAGAATGACGCCAGAGGTGTTCTTCAGCGGAAACCCTAATGGTCCTAACCCTAATAACAATAATCATGCTCGGTCTTTATCCGCTGGCGGCAACAATATCAACGGAAATATCTCATCCATCTCCTCCATGCCCTCAACCCCACCAAACACGAACGGGATGCTCATTGATTCTCAATCCCTACCACCTAGTCTAGGTGGAACACCTACCCAAAACCAACCACCGCAAAATCACCCTCCGAATCCACATCCACACCCACATTTGAATCCACACTCGAATCAGAATTCTAGTAATCCACATACCCCGTTTACTTTGACGCCAGCACAGCAATTTCAACAGATGCAAGGACAGGTACATGGAGGTGGTCCGAATGGAGGGGGTGACGCAATGTCAATTGATAATCCTAATTTCAATGGTATCGGCGGTCCTTTTGGCGGTGGCGTTGGAGTTGGTGGCGGTGGTGGTATGCCTCCTCCAGCTCGTCCGCTATCACAGTCATCACATCTGAATCATACATTTCCGCCCCAACAACACCTACACCAGCAGTCTCATCAGCCGCATCAACAACAAAATCAATCTCCACATCAACACGGACATCCTTCTCAAAACATCCAAAATCACCCTAATCATCCTAATCACTCAAATCATTCAAATCATCACTCCCCTCATCCTTCGCATCCTTCTCATCTTCCTGGTGATCCAATCACTAATATGTACCCCCCAAATCCACCAGCTCAGGGTCGGTCTCCAAGTAGACCGCAATCTCAAGCCGGCTCTCCATCAGCCCCGGGACCTTCGCGCTCGGCATCGAGAGCTGGACCAGGAGGTATGAGTGGTATAGGTGGAATGAGTAATATAAGTGGGATGGGAAACATGGGCGGACTAAGCGGGATGGGCAACATTCCTGGTGGAATAAGCGGGATGGCTGGACTTGCCAATATGGCTAATATGGGTAACATCGGAAACATCGGTGGCGTAGGCGCTGGAATGGGTTTTCCCCCCTCACAACATGCCGGTAATATGACGCTACCGCCGCCGCCGCAACAGCAGCCGCCTGGTATGAGTGGGTTGCCTCCACCGGGAATGATACCTTCTGGACCTGGGAGGTTGCCTGTATCGGGGTCTCAGGGACATCCTGGAGGTGTCGGACCTGGAGTTGGAGGTGGCGGCCCTGGAGGTGGAGGAAATCAAGGAAACGGAGGTCGTCCTCAGTCATCCAGCGGTCTCGTTGTTCAGAATAATCAAACCGGATTGGGAGGAGGAGGACCTGGTCAAGCAGGGCCCGGAGGTCGACCTCAATCATCCAGTGGACTTGGAGGACTAGGTCCTGCCGCGTTAGCGAATATAGCACCTCGTCCTGCGCCATTACATCAGCCATCTCATGGTCAGCATCAATCGATCCAACAGGGTCCTCATCCCGGACAGCCTGGACAGCAACAAGTACAACCAGGACAACCAGGGAGTGGACAATCAGGGGGACAACCAGGACAACATCCGCATCAAGGACCACCGCATTCCGGACATCCACAACACTCGCAATCTGCGCCTTCGAGTTCAGCGCCGCATCTTGCGCAACATAATCATAACTCTGCTCACAATCCTGCGCATCAGCACCACCATCCTGGTCACGGAGGACCAGGACAGATGGGACAACTTGGAGGACAACTTCCTCCTCCTTCAGCTCAGCTCCATCCACAACGAATAGACTCCCCTTCGTCTCCTGATCCGAATGATATGATATTGGGGAGAGGGTTCGGGGACATGGGTAGGGATATGGGTATAAGAGATATGAATATCCGGGAGTTTAATATGCGGGACATGAGAGATCTGAATATGCGTGATATGCGGGACATGAGGGATATGCGTGACATCCGGGAGGTGAGAGATATGAGAGATATGCGGGAGATGAACATACGGGAAATGCGAGATCTCAATCGTGGGATGGGTGATATGCGAGAAATGCGTGATATTAGACCTGATATGAGACCAACGATAGGCGCGATGAGCGGTGCAGTTTCGGGAGGGATGCCTTCTGGGTCGGTGTCAGGAGGCATACCGATTGCTACTGGACCGGGACCTGGCGCAGGACTATCTATGGGGGGTATGGGGCCTACGATGGCTGGGCCTATGGGTGTGCCGATAGGACCTTCCGTCGGACCTGCGGGACCACCTGGAGGGATCATGCCGAGGCACGGCGCAGTGTACGTGGTTCCTCATCCCAATACAGTTTATTTCTCTGCACCGTTCTTTTGTTTGACGATTTCTTCTGAATTTCCTAACTTTCTTCCTCCTTCGTTTCCTAACCATCATCCACACAGAACCCCCACCGCCCTCGGACATGGCCAAGGTCTCATTCGCTTACTTCAATTCTCCGGCAACCTCGCCTCAGAATCAAAGCAGAAACATCAGTTATCGTGGTGGAATGAGTTGATCAAAGAGTATTTTACTCCAAAAGCTATCATGCGGTTTACGCTGTGGAGAGATAATCAAAGGAATGAAGCGAAGCCTTTCGGTGAGCGTTTTTCAATCTTTGCGGTTTCCCTTGTGTCCTCTAGATGGTTCGGGTGTGCCTCGAAAAATTAAGGCCCTGTTTAGGCCGATTGCGAGGGGATATATCTACCTATTCCTATTTTTAAACTCTGATTTCCTGTCCCTTCCTCCTTTTTTCCCCAACACTTACCTACTTACCTACCACAGAAATCGGCGTCCCGATCCTCCCCCGCTTTCTTCTCGTCACCACGCAATCCGGGGTCAAATCAATGACCCTCACTCTCGACGGAGCCCGAGAACGCTTATACGCATACGGACATGCGATTGTGGAATGTGTTGCCGCAGTGTGGACGTACAAGTATAACAATGGTTATACAGTCGCACTCAGAGGTCCACTTACTGTTCATGTGGTGGTCACTGCCGCGCCTTCAACGACGACATCGCCTGGTCAACCCGGAGGGGCAACCCCAAATGGGATCATCTCGAATACGGGACCTGGACCGGGCGGTGGTGGGGCACCTGGAACACCTGGAGGTTCAGGAGCAGGCAACATTCTCCTAAAATTCGAGGATTTTCAGTTCGATGCTAGTTATCATGACAAGTATATCGCGTTGGAGAGTATCATGGGCCCAAGGAGTATAGAGAGCCCGAAAGGGTATCTACCTCCTCCTTCAGTTACGACAGTGGGAACTGGCACCCCAACCACTGCGAACACGTCGACGTCGACGACGCCGAGGTTACGTAACGCACAAGTGAGAAATGGAGCGCCTGCTGCTGCTGTAGGCGTTACCGGTCTTTCCGGTCCGTCGAGTTCCGCCGCATCCTCGACGACTATGTCAACGAATTCTTCTCCAGCTATAAATGGGATAACAGGGTCGACGACAGCATCCTCATCGTCTCCGGCTATGATGAATGGGGATTTGAACGAGTCTGAAGCTGATTTGAAACCTCCCTATCCGTCTTCTGCGCATCCCTATCCTGTTTCTTCTCATCTGTATCCTCCCTCTTCGACTTCGGCCCCCTCCTCTGCGCATCTACCCTCGTCAGCTCATCCTTCGGCATCTTCCGGGCAGTCTCAATGGGACGAACCTCGAGTGCTCATATCACAAGGCTTCATACCTGGTGAACCGGTAAACGCATTCGGGATTCCGCAGGCCACGATGCGGTGTCTTGAGCTTGCGGAAAGCGTCGCACAGATGAGTGATTTGATCGTGTTCTCGAAGGAGGAGGGGTTAGGACCGCTGGGTAAGTATCTCTGTTTCCTCCTTGTGTGTTGACATTTGTTGGCTTTTTGGAATTGAGCTAATGTTTTGGATGGTGTTTTTTCTCTCTTCTTAAAATACAGATGCTCTGTCGAAAATGGCGGGAAAAATACGGGAGTCGATGCCTTTGCCTCACCAGCCGTTGATCAATAGTGTTAGCGGACCTGGGCTGAATTTTAATAATCCCAACAATCCTAGCAATCCAAACAATCTTAATAACAACCACCCATCCCCATCGTCCTCAGGTACGTATGGCTTTCTAGGTCCAGGCTCAGGCTCAGGTTTATTCTTCTTCACCGGTCCAGGGCCCAACACGATGTCCTCCGTCAACGGGGTAGGTAGTCCCTCGATGAGCATGACCACTCTGTACTCTAGCGCTCCCCCCTCTGTCACCAACCCCTCTAATTCAGCAAACCCTAGTTCATCGTCATTATCATCTAACCACCCAACCCCATCTGCTTCCAACAACAACTCTGGTTCCTCACCGCAAACCCGCGGAGCCCAAAATAGCCAAAACTCATCTCCGTCAGGGATGTCGGCACTAAACTCACCGAGGAAGCCACATAAAAGTATACCGCAGTCGCAGCAAGGTGTCGGCGGTGGGACCTCTCCCGCGAATGTTTCGTCGTCGTCAGCAGGTGGTGGGCCATCAACAACATCATTATCAACATCGAATGTGATAGCCTCTTCGTCCTCATCCTCCGCCAACCCTAATTCGTCATTATTATCATCATCATCTACAGCAACGCCTAATGTTACTAACACTGCCAACCCCAACGCCACTGCCTCTACTTCCACAACAAACCGTTCCAACCCCAGCTCAACACATACCACACCCGCCATGGCGCCTGCTTCCCTGAAGCGGAAACAAGCTTCGTCGGATAGTACTGGAGGGGGTTCTAGCGCTTCTGGTGTAGGTGGTGGGGGGAGTAATGCGGGTGGTTCGAGTGCTGCGGGAACTGGGTCAGGAGGTGGGGTTGGAGGTGTGGATCCTGGATCGCAACCTCCTCCTGCGAAAAGGACGACAAGGAAGAGGGGAAGAGCGTCTACGTCAGGGACAGGAGCATGACGAACATGATTTGCGGAGAGGGGTTATATTTTATGGATGATATGTGTGTAGATCAGTTTTTTCTTTGTTCTTTGTGTTCCCACTCGTTTTCTTTCTCTACTAAGCTTCTCTCCTAATCGCTGTACCTCTTTACTTATTCCACTCTCTTCTCCGCTGCTTGTTTGTACACTTCGTCCGCTGTTCCTCTGCCTTTTCCTCTGTCTGTTTTCAAACCGTCTTACTACCAACTTATATGCATTGTGCGTGTGTGTGTGTTGTCTATATCTTGTCTATTTTAGTCTGGAATCTTCTGTCTAACTGTTTGCCTTGTCTATCTAAATCATCCATCCCGCTTGTTACTCTTACACTGCTCTTCTCTGTGACGCGAATACTTATTGCATATACACTTTTTTGGTCTCTCGTGCATTCAATCTCGCGTCTTCTCAACGATCGTCTTCTCCTCCAAAGCTTCGCGCGCCTCAAGACTTGGATGAATTTCAATTGTATCCATATGCATTACCTAATAACTTCATCCCTTCTTCCCTGTACACCCAAATTCCACAACAATATTCATTCATGAGTATGGACCTAGCAATTGACTCTATATATTTACCCATCTCTTTAATTAGACGCGGATTCTCTTGACGGACGTTTACTGTTTGCAATTCCCAAAAAAGGTATCTTGAATCGCCTTGGAAAGTAATCCCAATTGGATTAACGAACGATTTTAACAAGGGAGACTGTATGAAAAATGCTTATCGATTCTTGCTGGTGATTCCTCTATCTTTATTCTCCTGACTCCAAAACCTAATCATGTACTACTAGGTGCGGATATTCAGTTTCGACGACACGCTCGATTAGACGTCTGTCTTGTTCTTAATCACCCAATCGCGCTGTGCGGCTCCCAAATACACTTTCTTATAAGCTACTGATTATCATATATATCAGGGTCTTCCTTCCTGCATCCGACATCCCAAGTTTCGTCGGCAAGGGCAATGTCGACCTCGGTATCACAGGACATGATGTAATTCTCGAATCGCAAATGCACGAGCACGTTACCGAAGAGCTCCGGCTAGGGTTTGGCAAGTGTGCCCTGCAAGTCCAGGTCCCAGAAGCTGGGTCAATAAAGACCGTCGAAGATCTTGTCGGTAAAAGGGTTGTTACAAGTTTTGAGGTGCTCTCAGGGGAGTATTTTGGTAAACTGGACGATATTTTTCAACTCTCCGGCGAGAAACGTACGAAGATCGATTATGTTGGCGGTAGTGTCGAAGCTGCGTGTGCGTTAGGGCTTGCTGATGGCATTGGTGAGTTTCTTAGTACTCTAGTTTCAGTATCGGAGTCTGACCATTGCTTTCGCAGTTGACTTGGTCGGTGAGCGACTAGTGACGTCCTAGTCCTTTATCTGCTTTCTGAATTCATGTATTCAGAGTCCGGAGACACCATGCGTGCGGCTGGTCTTCACGCGATCGCTACCGTATTAGAAACAGAAGCTGTCCTCATCAAATCCCGAATCCCGAAACACGAAGCACATTCTAGCCTCATCAACCTCATCACCAATCGAATCAAGGGTGTCGTCGCTGCCAGCAAATATGCCATATGTCAATATAACGTTGCTCGAGACCGACTTCCTTCAGCTATCGCAATCACTCCCGGGCGCAGGGCACCGACTATCAGCCCATTGGAAGCGGACGGTTGGGTGGCCGTCAGTAGTATGGTCGAGAAGAAGAAAGTCGCTCAAATAATGGACGATCTTGTAGCAACTGGGGCCGAGGATATACTCATATTTAATCTTGATAATTGCAGAGTTTGATCGTGTATGAACTAAAGACAACAACTATCTATGCAAGGCGCAGGTCTCGAAGATCAAGCCACGAGGGAATCATTTTTTCAAAACTTGACACTTATACAAGGGGGTTGTCGGTTGCACGCGGACGTTTCAGTATGGATTTATCTTCCTTGTCGACGGTCCTGATCCAGTTCAAAAACGATGGGTTTAAGGCGATGACGACCCCACAATCCGTGTATAACACAGCGCTGCAAAGTCGATTTCACATATAAGCGTGCCTCAACGCTCGATCCCCCACACGGTGTGTCTACTTGCGCCATTCAATCTAATCTGAGTTCGACCTGACTAGTCACCATCTCCAGGGAAAGTATGTATATTCAATGTTGAGGTCGACGCTGTTAAGTAGAGGATGTCAGATGTCAACGGCTCCAAGGACACTCGACCACTGCTAATGTGGCAGTCTGGTGAAACCGTACTGATCGCGCTCTGTTTGAGGGTACTCACTATATTAAATCGGCATTCTGTTTTGTTCCCTGCTCAGACGCTCAATTTTTGACATCCGGATCCTACAAGATCATACATACAGTACATAGGATTTATACATATACATAGATACATACAGACGCGTTTCGAGCGGAAACTTCGCCGAGATCGTTATGTACAACTTCGCCTGTGAATTGTAAAACGGTCGGTGTTACGTAGAGCCTCATTGAACTTTTCTCGCTTGGTTGACCACGGTGCCCATTTCCCTTTCGAAACCATCATGAAACCGTGACGTGCGTAGAGATCTTTGGAAAACTTGAAGAAAATACACTCAGTTCAAAGTGCACTGAGTCACTATACTGGACACAAACTGTTCGTGAACTTTGATTTATCCAGGGGGCATGCTGAAAAGTGCTGGGCGGTGTTTTCCATAATCCATATTTCTTGGCATGATAAGTGAATGACTTCTTCTCACATCCTCACATCTGCTGACCCATGGGCTATGTACCACAGCCTACCATAACGTTCATTCCGGGTGGGTTCCCTTGATCATAGTGGAGACTTCGAACCCAAGATCAAACACTCTAGAACGACGGAATATACAACCAAAGCTGTTGACTCGGCCTTAAGGTGCAGATTCCTGGAATTATAAGGAGCCCCGGACCCCTCAATTTCTGCTTACTATCTACCCATCAAACCACAGGTCCTAGGATGTTCGTGATCAATGCTCTCCCAAAAACCCTCCGCATCCTAACATGGCTGTCTATCGTCCTCTCAATCATCACCTTTGTCTTTTCACTTATATCCAAACTCGGAGTCACTAGCTTCTTCCTCGGCCCATGTATTTCCTTTGTAACCCTCATCTACTTGCTCATCGTACTCATAATCGAGCACAAGCGGAATACTACTACTGGTAGTATTAGAGCCCCGAGAAACCACATGCACCTTGGGAGTACCAGTGATCTGCCCAACAACCTTCCTCTCACCACTGTGGTAGAGCACAGCGCTTACTCCTCGCTCCCTTCAGTGATCATAGCGTATTTCCTGGGAATATGCTGGTTCCTCACTTCAATAGCGAGTATGATTCTCCTTGCTGCGATTGAGTGGAGCGGGATCGCAGATGCGGCTGTAGCGATTGTTTCTTGTTATGCGGCCACTGGGCAGACGGTTGTGTGGTTTGCGTTGGCTGGGGTGGTTCATTGGGAGAGGGTTGTTCAATTGGGGAAAAAAACAATGGGTGCAGTGGCATGATCATGATTATAAGTATGTTGTTTCAAGAGGAGATAGTCATATTGATATGTAGGCTATCATTGTAAATATACTATTTTGAGCTGAAGATTTTGTTGTGGAGGGATGAAGGATGAGTTGTTGTGAAAGATCATGACGATAGCAATAATTGCCCCCCTGGGGGTTGGGCATCAAAGTTTGTAACATGCACTGCAAGCAGAATTTGAATTTGCGGGATTCCCTCACTGTGTTAACAGTATTGAGGAAGGGACTGAATCAGATTGACAGATTCCAAGTGATTATTAGGAATCACTTGAATAAAGAGATGACGATACGTGGCAAAAATTTGATGACCACCGCAGGGGTCGAACCTGCAATCTCCTGATAAGAATGCAATCGTAGTCAGACGCGATGCCATTTCGCCAGGCGGCCATATTTTCCTTGTTTTTCCGTGGAGAATTCTAGTTACTCATTTACTTACATAATCCACATTTACTACTTACAACGCCACTGTATTGTTTTTTCCTTTGTACAGTTCAACATGGTCAGAAAACTCAAATATCACGAACAAAAGCTCCTCAAAAAAGTTGACTTTTTAAACGTACGTTGTTCTGTTCCTCCCTCACCAATTCACCATTTAATTTAGTTAGTGGAAACAAGATGCCAATTTACGTGAAGTGAAAGTGATGAGAAGATATCATATTCAGAACAGAGAGGATTATCACAAGTGCGTGTTTTCTCCTTTATGTCCTTCAGTATAACTCAATCTTTACTCAACACAGATACAATACCGTCATTGGCCACCTCCGCTCTCTTGCCCACCGTGTCTCCCTTCTCCCACCTCAAGACCCCTTCCGATCAAAAACCGAAAACCAGATCCTCTCAAAATTATACGACATGGGTGTCCTCAACTCTTCTGCAAAACTATCTGATGTACAGAACAAGCTTACCGTGTCCGCGTTTTGCAGAAGAAGGCTGGCAGTGGTTATGTGTGCGGGGTTGAAGATGGCAGAGACGGTCAGTGCGGCGACCAAATTTATTGAGCAAGGGCATGTAAGGGTTGGACCTGATGCGATTTCGGATCCAGCGTATCTGGTTACCAGGTGAGTTTTTCGTGTAGTGAGGGGTTTAGTTTGTCGGTTCATGTTTTCTTCTTCCTACAGACGCATGGAAGACTTTGTCACCTGGGTCGATACATCCAAGTTGAAGAGAACAATTATGACATACAACGACGAGGTTCGTAAATACCTTTTTTGCTTGCTTTCCTCGTCCTTTTGCCCCTTCCCCATGTCGAAAAATTGTCGTACAAACCTCCCTCTTCCTACGTTTTACATGTTATTTTACGAATTCTGACTGTTTCTTTTACCTTTTCCACAGCTGGATGACTATGATCTGCTGTAGAGATTTGGAATCAGGCTCAAAACAATTGAACGACACGTTCTATGCCTGAACCTGCCTAACCCAGCCTCAGCTCGACCTATACACCATTCGACGGCACGGCCCTCACTCCTTGCTGTTCTTGGTTATTGACTGGTACTTACCACCAGGGGGCGGGCAGCGGAGTTTTCCGTGAAATCAACTGGTGCAGACCCCCCCGTGTGAACTTTGAGTTGCCGACAGCGGCTAGCATCGGCTGTCTTGATTCCATTGATCTGTCTGCAGTGTGCACCGTCGACGACACCTTCGTTCTCCTTGTTTTCCCTTTCATATCAATACATTCTTCCTTAAATCATCATTTTCTCTTTGCTATTATAATGGGCCATAAACAAGCACCTACAAGACATGCATCTGTAGTAATCATTGTCAATAATGGGCTTGCTATCTATTATCTATACAATGTTCCACCATTCAGAACAAAATACCCTGTGATACTTATACAAAGAGGAGATAGGCAGGTACATACAGCAGAGTGCCCAGTTCAAATAAGAGTCCTTGTTGCTTACAGTCTTTAGAGGTTCACGCTGGGTTCATTGCACCCTGATCGCACCAACGCGCCGAAGTTCTGATGCCATGTTGCCGTGGCTGGCAAGTCAAAGTTCGCACGGGGGGGTCTGCACCAGTTGATTTCACGGAAAACTCCGGTGCCAGCCCCCTGCTTACCACGTAGATGACTTTGTGCAGAGAGTGGTCGGAAATTGCCTCATTGAAGAATCTTGGCATTCGTACCAATGAATCAGTGATATGTCGCGTTACCTTGTACCTGTAGCGATCATCGTTACGCCGCACCTGGTGACTCCCATTCGAGCTAATACTATTTAAAAAAGAGGCGAAAGGTTGTGACCTCTACCACTTGTGCTTTCCGTGTACTTTCCACGGCATACTTCCCTGCATTATCCTTGACTTTTGTGTACATACTTTCCGACGAAATTTCCGTGTACTTTCCGGTCAATGCGTTTGCTTGCGTTAGATCGCGCGGCGCTGAAATGTCTCTTGTCACAAATGTCCATCATGTTTATCTCTTGACAGATCCTTCCGCGCCTTTTTGGGCCTAATGCTCATTGCAACGTCGGCTATGGATAACTTTAACACCTATGATCTATGTATAAGTATAAATTCCAATTTCTGGACCTGAGTATCTTTATCCAGCTCCATCTCTCGAACGACCTCCTACATGCAGAGCGCCGCCCCCGTTAATCCGGACCGTAGAGTTTTACCTCCTGGGTGGACAGAAGGATACAATGCACAGTGAGTTGTTCAGTGCTGCTTCAATGGATCTGACTTGATCTGCGTGTTGAACAACTGTCTTTTTATGTTTTTTTTTTTTGGTCTCTAGGAAAGATACTTGGTTCGTAGGCCCAGAATCGCACGTTCCCTGAACTCCACTTTCTTACTTTTCTTTTATTTCGCTTGAATCTAGGTATTATGTTCAAACCAATGTTGTCCCTGCTCGGATCTCATACTTTCATCCTTCAACGGAATATTACGCGGAAACTAATCGGGTAGCAGTAGATGAGGCAGGACCGAGTTCTTCTTCAAATTTCTATGTGCAGCAAGCCTCATCGTCGTCGTCAAAGTTGCAAGGGCGCAATGAAAAATCCGATTGGAAACCTGACCAAAAAGATCCCATGTTCTTCAATAATAATGCAGGTCCAATTGCATCTTCCTCTTCCTCCTCCGGGCCCTCGACAGGTCCTGCTCCTTCTACCTCGTATTCACCATCAAGCATCGGTCATTTGCCGCCTGATCCGACATCGTCTGTCGATCCATCATCGCCTCCACAGTATTCAATCTATTCTGAATCGTCAGACGAACATAGTACACTTTCCGCTGTCGTCGCTCCTGGGCCTGGGTCTGATAGTAGTAGTTCACCAGGGGGAACTACCACAGCTAACGTGGTGTCGCCTCCGGAATACCATAATCCTTCTTTTCTGAGCTCTCCCCCTCCTGCTTCTTCTCCTGCTCCACCACCACCGCCTTCTTCCAGTCTACCTGTCACTCAGATGGTTGGACCACCGTCATCTCAACCAGTGCCGCCAGAAAACCATCCACAACCCTTTCCTTCTACCCCTCATACGAGCAATACAACCAATACAGTCAATGTCAACTCCCTGCCAGCACCTCGTCCGGACTCTACGGGTATGAATTTGGTTAGTCATCTATCACAGGCACAGGTAGTCAATAATGCCTCTCCTTCTCTTATTCACATTCACACTACTGGACAGAACCCTCATGCTCATGTCCCGGGAATGCATTTGGTCGATCGCCCATCACAGGCACCCGTCGGCGTGTCTTCCCCTTCTCTCCCTCCTCATCCTCCCATTCCTCAGCCTACTTCAGCTCCAGTGACTACCACCACTGCACCACCACCCCCTAATGTGCCCGTGCCTACTTCCAATGCCCCCACTCCCGCGCCCGCCACCGCTGGCCACGAAGGACTGACCCTAGCGCAAAGGCTGTACGCGAGCGCCTTTTCTTCACGTCCATCAACGACCGGAGGACCATCCGGTGGTCGCATCTCCACATCATCCCCGAACATACATCTCCCCATAGATTCTCATAGCCACATGCCCCCTACAGTTTCCTTGGCTGCTGTCTCTGCCGAAGCCTATAACAATACTAATATTTCGAATAATAGACCCAATGCAGCTATCGCAAACTCGTTTTATAAGACTGGGGTGTTGCAGAATCTACAATCTCAGAATCAACCGATTCAGCAGCATCGCCCACAAGGTGGGAGGTTGTCTTATCATGCAGGGAGTATGAACTATACCACCGCAGCCGTGGCATCGAACGTTTCGTTATTGAGCACAGTGCATTCACAATCATCGCCTGCAGCATCTACGGTGGCTGGGGGACGGCCACAGCTTCCTTCGCGTCCTCAGTCGCAACAATTACTACTTAATAATGTAGTTCGCCCACAATCGCAGAAGATCGAGCATTACAATTCTTCTGGTAGTGCTGGTAGACCAGTGTCTAAGCCCACGACGGTACCGAGTGTTACTCTGGTAGCACGTCCTCCGAGTCAGACTTCAGGTTCGTTCAATATTCGTAGTGTATGTGGATTTTAATCAATCAGTGTAGGTCCTATAGGGCTTTCGAATCCACATCCAACCACAGCGTCGATGAATTCACACTCTGCCGTCGCTAACGGTCCTGCATCACAATCTGCAACGACGTCAAATACTGCCATGCAGGGACAGATAGGTGTTTCTGGGATTCAGTCCCCTCCGACTTCGATTACTAGTGTACCCGGAGCGCCTTCTGTACCTGCTCGTCCTCCTTTGGCTGTAGGTACAAGTGGAAACTTGAGCAACAACAATAATAATAGCAATACGTTGAATGCTCCTCCACCCACAGCCAATCTCCCAACGTCGTCAACACTGCCCCAGCATTTTGTGGTACAAAACCCCAATGTGCATGCGCAAAATCAAAGTGGAAATGGGAATTTCAATGCTCCTCAGACAGGGTCGATGGCGGATCTACCTAGTCCTCCACCTCAGGTCAATTCTCATGTATCTGTGAATAATCCACTCCCGCCAGTTCCTCCTTCTGGCGCTGGTGTTGCTTCGATGCATAGCTCGCCTGTATCATTAGGACATGGACCACAGTCTTCTATCTCGTCCCAGACTCATTCACCACCGCCACCATCACATTCTGCGACTTCGACTTTGCCAGCTCATGCGCCGCAGTTTACTACAAGTCCTCCGATGTATTCCACATCGCCTGTCGCGAACGTCCAAAGTTCAGCTCAATCTCAATCTGTCCCTACATTTATATCGAGCCCAGGTACAGTTTCTCCTACTGGGTATTCACCTGGCTCCGTTCCACAGCCATCTTCCCCTCCTTCTTTACCTCAACGCCCTCCTCAACGCCCGCCTCAACGTCCTCCCCAACACCCATCTTACACCCTCCCGATGGTTCCCACGACTCATAACCCCCGACCACCTCGACCGAATTCCACCTCCTTTTCTTTCGGGTCAACCTCCGCTACTTTATCGAATACTGGCAACATGCTTGCCAATTTCGGTAAAGCCGCAGGCCGCGTCGCTGGCCGAGCTGCTCTGCGTTACGCGGGGCGTCTAGCCATCGGCAGTGTCCTCGGGACAAACCCTACTCTCCTCTCCGGTCTTTCCGGTGGAGGGTTATTCGATAATAGTTCCTTGGATATGCTTAATTCCAGCCTCGCGAATCTCGATGTTACATCGATTGGTGTGGATATGTCCCAATTCCAAGCTGCGTTCCAGGGTGTTCCGGGGACTGATTATCAGGGGATTATTGATTCGATAGGGCAGCAGCAGCAGACAAGTCCGACTCCTGGGGTGAATTATCATGCGATTATTGGGGCGTTGACGAAGATACAGCATGCGGCGGTGCAGGCGCAGAATCAGAATCATCCGCAAGCACATCCTGCTGCTCATGTTCATAGTAATGCTAATGTTGGTGCGGCTAATAATTATCAAGCGATTGTGAATGCACAGGCACAGCAAATCCATCAGATGCAAGCAATGATGAATTCGTTGAGTATGCAGCAACATGGACAGCAGATGCAGAATATTAACATGCATTCGGGACAAACGATGAATCATAATCCAGCGCACCAACCTCCCAGACCACCACAACAAACGCAGTCTCAGTCTCTGATGCAAACTCATTTGCCAACTCCCTTGCATACCCAGACTCCGTTCCTGTCGCACGGACAAGCCCACCCTAATCAGGCAGCTCAATCCGTTCATACCTCCCCTCATTCTGCACCTTCTTTCCCGACTGCTCACGGTAACAGCGCCGCAGCAACTCCTTACCATCCTCAGTCCGTCCACACTGTTCCTTCTAGTAACTATGGGCCGGCCTCGTCTCCGCCGCCACCACTTCCATCAGTATATTCTACTAATGTTCCTCCGCCGTCTCAACAACAGTCGTACACGGGGGGACCGAACACTACGAGTCCACAGGCACTGCCAGCTCATCTACCTCCTATTCAAAACACTTCCAGTCCTGCAAACCCCTCGCTTACTACGATGTTAGGCACAGTTGGTCATGGATTGATGAACGCGATGCATCAGTCCCCTCAGTCGTCACATGTGCAAAACAGTTCTTCTCCGGGTCATCCTAATCAACATCAGCATGCGCATACGCAACAGCAGCAACAATTCCATGCTCAACAATCTGGTAGCTCCGCTCACCATGTTAATATCAATGGCGGAAATTCTGGAAGCGAATCCAGTACTGGTGGTTCTGGTGGGCCGTCGATGTTGAGTACTGTGGGTCATGAAGCTTTGAACCTTTGGCATCATCACCAGCAGCACGAGCATCAGCAACAGGCGCCACAACAGGATTCGCAAGCCTATGGTGGTGATAATGACTCGAATGGACAAACTTACGACACGAGTTTGTTAAACGGTGGGAACCCGTACAGCGATGGGAGTTCGTACAACGACGGAAATCAAACACAACTAAATTACGACGCTCCACCAGACTTTTACACCATGAATAATTCTTTTGGACCTAACCCATCTCAGGATCAGAATGTCGATATGTCCGACAACGGATTTGACCTGAACAATGGATTTGTCAATGGGGACGAATTTCCGGGGGCTATGTTTCCAACAGACCTAAACGCCAATCAGTTTGACTTCACTGACGGAACTGCGGGGACGTACGAGTACACTTCGTACACGAGCGATGACCAGAACCAAAGTCAGACCTTTGGCTTTGGTACTGATGGTCAAGGTGGGATGGTTGGGTTTGATAGTACCAGTTTTGGTGATCCTGGGACAGGAGACATTTATCAAAATACAGACACAACGTTTTCTAATGGAGGGTTTATGGATTCCGTTGATACCACCGATGTCTTCGATAACTCAGGGGATTTGTTGTTCTCTTCGACAAACGAGACCGTGTTTATGACTTGACTTTACATAAAACTATTTAACTCTGTTCTATCTACTATCTATGTATGTGTAACTTCGAGGTAGTGTAAACACTGTACATTTGTTGCGCGTCAAATGTGCCACGAACACGGAGCGCGTGTTGTCCCCGTGATGATAATGAGTGATTATACAATAAATAAGGTTTCACTCCCGCGTGGTGGCGTGGCTTTTTGTTGTGCCACTCACAAGAAAAAAAGTTCGAAAACAACGACCATCATGGCCCCTAGAACTCGTCGTGCGGCGCGTAACCAGACACCCGCAACTTCGACAACAACGAATACGACCAACTCACCCCTATTTAGTACTAACGCTTCTGTGGCTGAGGATTCCCCAGCGACGACTGATGTCGAGCAGGTGCCGGTAACAAAGAGGACAAACACTAGATCTCAGAGTCAAAGAGGGAAGAAGAGGCCACCTCCAGTTCATAGCGAAAATGAAGATGAAGATGAAGAGGCGGACTCACGTCCTGCTCCCAAACGAAGAGCGACCGGAAAGAGTTTGTACGTGGAGGTTGCTGTACTTGCAAAGAAACCTACAAACAAAGGCAAAGGGAAAGACAAAGATATCGTAAGTTAAGGATATTATCTGCTTGACCTCTTTCTTATCTTAATCTTTAGAAGGCCGTGAAACTTACCACTAAGGGCAAAGGCAAACAAAGAGCACCTCCAATCGACGATGAAAACTCAGAAACAGAAGGAGGACTTGACTACGATGATGCCAAATCTCTTGTGGACTCTAATAGTAGCGGCTCTGAATTTGTCGCTTCTGAAGGGGAAGAAGACGATATCGATGAAGAAGAAGAGCTAGTAATGCCTAAAGCACGTTCTTCACCTGTCAAGAAACGCGTCCCTTCTACCGCCATCTCGCTCGACGGGAACAACTCTGACGAAGATGGTGACACGGTCATGCTTGCCGCAGCTATACAGCTTTCTCGTCAGACTTATCGAAACACCAATGGAGCTGGGCCTTCATCCGATACACAGGTCAATGCGAAGGCTGCGCTTATGGCGGCTGCTGCTGAGCATCGTTTAGCTGACCACGCTAGAACTGGCGTGGACGTTGACGACTCCGTTATGGACTTTGATAGTGCTATCAACGATTTCGATAATTTGTCTGCGCTCTCTGGTTCTGACTCTGACTCTGAACCTCTCGCGAAGAAGAAATCCAAAGGAAAGAAACACACAAAATCCAAATCCAAATCCAAGAAATATAAGTTAGGTATTGAAGAACCCGAACTCATGACGTGGTTGCAGGCGAGAAGAGAACAGAAACGAGAGCAGAGGGAACTCAGCAAAAAGCTGGGCCGCAAACTTACTAATGTGAATCATCTTGCCTTCATTTCGAGTCTGCATTAACAGCGCGTTTTCAGGCGGAAAAAGCTACTCTCGCGTTGCACAAACATCATCCGGAATTGAAGAATGTCTGGGGCGATTTGAAAGCGAAGATTCAAGTCGTCAAACCAGCTGAATGTCAACAGCCAGCTGGAATCAAATTGACGCTTCTTCCATTCCAGAGGGAAAGTTTGCATTGGATGAAGAAACAAGAGGAAGGTCCGTGGAAAGGTGGTATGCTTGCAGTGCGTCCCTGGATCTCTTGTTCCTATGTTGTTGTGAATTTAATGAGCTGTTTTAGGATGAAATGGGGTAATGTCAATTTGATCGTCTAGAAGCCCAATGGTATGTTGACTTTCTTGTCAGCATGGGCAAGACTATCCAGGTCATTGCTTTGCTGGTCTCGGATCGGAAGAAACCTAATCTTATCATTGCGCAAGTACTTTTATACTGGACGTCTACTATAGGCTTGACTAATGCTTTTGCAGTCCCACTGTTGCAATCATGCAATGGAGGAATGAAATCGAAGCACACACAGATGGTATGAAGGTCCTTGTATGGCACGGACAATCTCGAGAATCAGATGTCAAAGAACTCAAGAAACATGATGTGGTCTGTGTGTCTCGTTCATCCAACACATTCGCACTCACTTGATGACATAGGTTCTGACTACATACGCGATTCTCGAAAGGTAGGAATGGCTTGATATCCTTATATGAATATAAATGGTCCTTAATCTTGGTTGCGCAGCTCCTTCCGCAAGCAAGAAAGCGGTTTTAAAAGAAAAGGCAAGATCATCAAAGAACAGTCTCCGGTACACCAGATCCTCTGGCACCGTGTGATTGTAAGTTTTCCATCGGCGCCAAAATGGCATATCTAGTTCTTGACTATCCTTCTTCTAGCTCGACGAAGCTCACAACATCAAAGATCGCGGATCCAACACGGCCAAGGCTTCTTTCGAGTTGGAAGCAGTTTCTCGATGGTGTTTATCCGGCACTCCATTGCAAAACCGAGTCGGAGAGTTGTATTCCCTGATTAGGTTTTTAGGCGGTGACCCATTCTCGTACTACTATTGTCAGCTCCCCCCCTGTCAGTGCCTTTTTCCTGCTGCTGACTGCTGCTGGATAGGCAAACAATGCGAATGCAAGTCTTTACACTGGAAGTTTTCCGACAAAAGGTCCTGCGACGGTCAGTTGAAAATTATGAAACTAATTCTGAGTTAGGGTTGATGCCATATGTATGCAGATTGTGGACATAGTCCGATGCAACATGTATGTTTTAAGTCCCCCGTATGGACCTCTTGGAAATCTCATGACCCTCGTAGACATGTTTTTGGAACAACGAGATCTTAACACCAATCCAGAAAGATGGGATGTCTGGGCCAGGCAAGATCGCTTTCAAAAAATTGAAGATCCTACTAGATAGAATGATGCTTCGACGTACTAAGGTCAGTACTTTCGAATTTATAGCTTGCGTATACTTATGTCAATGAATGTATACAGCTTCAACGAGCCGACGACCTTGGCTTACCCCCTCGAACGGTTATCATTCGCAACGACTACTTCAGTCCAGAGGAGAAAGAATTGTACCTATCGCTGTTTTCTGATGCAAAGCGACAGTTCGGTACATACTTAGACCAAGGAACCGTTCTGAACAGTTAGTCGGCACTCACCATCCATTCAACCTATATTAACTCATATCTTCGGTTAGACTATTCGAATATCTTCAGTCTGTGAGTCAACCCTTTCCCGTTCTTCGTTCTACCTTTCTACTCACTTCACGTTTCATAGTCTTACCAGGATGAGGCAAATGGCATGTCACCCCGATCTGGTCATCAGAAGCAAAAGCAACGCCAACAAGTTTATTACTGAAGACCTCGGGGAGGCCACCGTTTGCAGGATATGTCATGAAATCGCGGAAGATGCAATCCAATCAAAGTGTCGGCATGTCTTTGATCGAGAATGTATCAAGCAATATCTCAATACTGCCATTGAGCAGAATGTATGTGACTTGTCCCTCATGCTCGCGTACACCCGTCCTGAGGATACTTCTAGCCTTCTTGCCCTGTGTGCTTTGTGCCTCTTACTATTGACCTCGAAGCACCTGCGTTAGATCTCGATTCTAGCACATCCAATGCTCGACAGGGAATTCTCGGGCGCTTGAACTTGGACACTTGGAAGAGCTCGACAAAAATCGAAGCTCTCTTGGAAGAATTGAGCAATCTGCGTACCGAGGATGCAACAACGAAAAGCATTGTATTCAGTCAGTTCGTCAACTTCCTTGACCTCATCGCATATCGTTTGCAGAAAGCTGGTTTTACGGTGCGTGATGTCAATGTAAATCTCGCCAAGCCACATTTTGATCCTGTTCATCTATGTACATAGATTTGTCGACTCGAGGGAACGATGAACCCCCAAGCTAGAGATGCGACTATCAAACATTTCAGTGGGTGACGTCCCTTTTGAACGGTCAAAATGATTTCTATCCCTCTTTTAGTGAATAATGTCGAAGTCACCGTTTTCCTTGTCAGTTTGAAGGCCGGTGGAGTAGCGCTGAATCTGACAGAGGCGTCTCGTGTATACCTCATGGACAGTTGGTGGAATCCTGCTGGTATGTTTCTTCCTTCCCTAGGGTGTTTATCTGTGTTAATTCCTTGGAATCATAGTTGAATTTCGTGAGTCTACATTGGATTTTCCTGCGAACGTTGTTCCTCAGTCATATCAAATAGAGGCAATGGATCGTATACATCGACTGGGTCAACATCGACCTGTGAAAGCAATCAAACTCATCGTTGAGGATAGTATCGAGAGTCGTATCGTACAGGTATAATCTGCTTTCAGTTCGACTACTTACGCAATCTAACTTTTTTCTTTTCAGTTGCAGGAGAAGAAGTCTGCAATGGTTGACGCCACGCTTTCTCCTGATGACTCAGTGAGCTATTGATCCCGTTCCTTTTAACTTGAAAGTCGTTGATGTCTTTTATTCCTTAGGCAATGGGTCGGCTCACACCTGAAGACGTAAGCTCCCCTCGTTTATTCCATAACTTTATCTTAATTGATATGCTTGTAGTTGCAGTTTCTGTTCCGCGTGAGTATCTCAATTTCTCGATTCTCTGGTACATACTATATCTAATCTTATGGTTACCTTTCTAGCTGTAGATGGTGATATGAAATGCACATTCATGCTCTGCTTTGTTTTCTCAGCTCACCTTCATATAAATACAAATGTCTATCAATATCAATGCTTATCGAACTTCAAAGTATAGAATTACATAGCACAGATACAACAGTCAAAATGGACATACGTCCTTTAAGCTCCGTTCATCGCGCGTTTCAACGGTTGGTCTTTTGCTTAATCTCCTTCACCCGCTTTGAGTTCCGGGCTTCGGTATACGTGGATACACTTGCCATTGCCCATAACATCCTATAACATATCGCTCGCAAACATCCTATGGTGGCACACATCATTGTGGCGTCGGAGATCGTTCTCACAAGCTTGCTTCTTTTTTGATACATAATAGATGCCATCTATATCAGAATCATGATGAGGAATTCTTTATCCTCATTAAAACCTAAATGAATTCCCAGCTCTTTCATGTTAACCTCTTCGTAGCCACTCGCTAAACGATTCTACAGTACTAGTCGCCGGGATGTTCAGTAAGTCTGAGCTTTGGTTCTTTCTCGAGAGTTGATAGGGGTTGATTAATTTCTAATGTGAACGACAGACTCCTCCAATGACAGACCAGAACTTCCTTTAGAAATCGTCGAACTCATTATCGAATCTGTAGACAATGATCAGAAAACGCTTCGAGCTGCGTCTCTTGTATGCGCTATTTGGCGTACTGCTGCTTTCCCGTATCTGCTGCACGACATTCTCATTTCAGAGGAAGCAGACTATGAGCGAATCAAGAAGCTGTGCTTTCGTTTCCCTAGGCTTCCCACATTTCACGCCCGAAGTATAACCTTACGGCCAGGAACTCGTCTTAGCTCAGAACTTTCCGTAGCTGAAACCTTGCGCTCGTTTTCATTTTCTAGACTGTTTGAAGACAGGAGGTGGGAGCTCAATAAGGTCGCGGCAGAATTTCCCCAGATGCCCAAAGTCACGTCTCTGAAGTGGGTGATGGGAAGGGATGTTCAGCACTCCATAATTGTAGGCCCTTCCATCCACCGACATCTTTCACTGCTTCCCTCGCTCCAACGACTCACACTCAAGGCCAAATTCGAGGATCTGCACGAGCTCGAGCTTTTCCTCAGTTTATGTTGCAGTGGTCTGAAATCTCTGACTTTCCAGGGCATCTGGTTCCGCAATAGTCGTAGTCGCCCTCTAGGATTGAGCCATAATAGTAATCTCTGCTTACTGGAAAGGATTGCCTTCGAGCGCACTCGATCAAGCGACCCTACTTACGACGAAGTGGTTGATCTGGTGATTCTGTTTCTAAAGGACAAAGTCCACCTCCAGTCATTGAGGATTCGATATGACTTTACCATGTCACCCACGAGTCTGGAACGATTACTGGAAAAATCAAAGGAGACACTGGAAGCTCTGGTTATCGAGCCTATTGGCGTTGCAGGTAAGTTATGTAGTTCGTTTTGGAATCGTAGTCTGATATTCTCCTAGACAATCCACTATGGGCTCATTCATGTCAACCATTTGCTCACTTGGGCCCACAGATGAAGAGCTTCACTTTTGGAATACCTCAGACGACGCCGGGCGGCCCGACTTTAACCAACTCTGCTCCTTTCGAAGTTCTCGATTTCTTCCGCTTTGCGCATACTCTTCCTCCATTGCCCCACGTAACCACCTTGACAATCACCTTTCGTATATACAATGAGTGGGATGCATCTGAGATATGGGGCGCTTCCAATTATCCCGAGCGGAACATGAAGATGTCCTGGCATAGATTCCTTTCCTGGCTGGCAGTACAGATGCCGTCGTTGAACTTGCTTGTTTTTTTCGTGAAGTTCAAAATCAAGTTCAACGAAGGAGATCAGGAACGATTTTTTGGATTCGCTAAGGACGCTGTCCCCCCTCTACGGCCTGGTGTCAATATCCAGCTGCAGTGGATGCTAGAACCCGCAACATCTACATTGATTTGAATTTCCTGTAGTCGTCTGTCTATCTGTCTGTTTGTCTCGATAGTATTGGTATCGTTTGTGTTTTGATAGTACTTGTATGTTATTGTTATTTTACTTATTTGGCACGAATCCACTACATGTTACATAGATCGCATCAAAGAAGTCCATACTATACTCTAAGTAGTGGCTGCCCTAGTCGTCGATACACTATACTGGAGTTACGAAGCTTTATCTCTGTATCTTCTTCAGGTTCCAAACCTTCTTCATCATGTTCACGTTGGTGCATATGATTGTTTGCATCCGTGTTCGAACGTAGTTCCGCACTACTCAGGTGACTTCCGACCGATTTTTGAACATCAACCAAGTGAATGAGCTGACGTTGGTAAGGTCTGGCTAGAATAGCTTCCTTGATAATCTTTAGAGTTGTGCCTCTATCTTCAGGGTCCTTCCATTTGTCCTTTACATCGGGCTCGTCTTCATTTCCTCCCTTAGTAGCCTCGGCCTCAGCCGTCGCGGCAGTTAGCTTTGTCTCCATGAAGCGAGAAAATGCGAACAGATCCTTAGTCAACTTGTCGTCTATTTTGAGAGGACCATTCTTTAGAAGGGTGTTAATTGTTTGCCGTAGGTTAGGGACATCCTGTTGTAACTTGTCAAGAGTGATTCTGGAAGGGTCGAGGTTCACATGTTGAGCGGCCAGTTCAGGTTCTCGGTCTCTGCTGACGTTCTGGAGGCGACCAAGCAAATCCAAGAGTGTAGTCATCTCGAGTGGGGTGTTTCCAACACCATTCTCCATGAATAGACATTCGTCTGGAGAGGAATCAATGAGTTTCTTGACTGTCTTTGCTTGGGATTTCGATATCGCAATGTGAAGGGGAATCGATCCATAAACGTTCCGAATTGCGAGGCCTGCTCTTGTATAGTCGATGATTATACTAGAGGTACGATAGTCTCCTCTTGAAACTGCAAGGTGAAGAGGCTGTACCAAATGAATGAACGAAACTACACAAGGGGATAAGACGAGACAAACCGTGTCCAGATTCCCCTTACAATGTTGTTGCAATAATAACTCGTTGACATCTCGGGGAAGCTTTAGCAGGAGATGCTCAAATAGAACGGGTACGGAAGAAGCAGCGAGCATATGATAGATGTTCCATCTGCCAAAAAGTGTTATAACTGACAAGATTTGCTAGCAAGTAGCTGACTTACTTTCGAATTTGATCAGTCTCTGTAGGTGACTGACCATTTGCTAACAAAAAGTCTATGACCTGGGGATCACAGCCAACTTGGACTGCAAGCATTAAAAGGTTGAAGCCACTGAATTTCATCCTGAAACCCCATGAGCACCTCGGGCATCGTAATTGATTTATAAGAAACATACCGTTCTTTCAAAGCTGCAGACATCAGCTTAGGTTTCTTCGCAAAAAGAAGCTTTATGACATTCAATTTGTTGGACAAGATCGCCGCCACAAGCGGCGACTCTCCAAGATTATTGGTACACCAACCAAGTCGATCAGGGAGGATTTGCTCGAGATCGGTTATGCGACGCAAACGGATGCTCAACTCGCTGCCGTGCGTCATTGCATAAAACCGATATGCTTCTAGTGGGCGAGTCGATGCCAAGTACTCGATGATCTTAACTTCCTTGGATGACGATAGAATAGCGCGCCATAATATAGGAGTCACGTCTTGGTCTTGCAATTGATAATGAAAATTTGCAGGATCATTTTTTTGGGCCAGATCTTTACGCTTCTTCCCATGTACCGAGAGTCCCAGATAAATCTTATTTTTATCATTGATGGCACGTATTTCCTTTTCTTCCGTTTCGTCACCATGAGATTGTAGGTCTATCCCACTGCCAGTACGACGGATGTACTCGTCGAGCATCTCTGGTTCATCTGCTGCAAGGATTGCGTCTAATATATATCCTTGGCCGAGCTCCAAAGGAGGCTCTGTGAGCTTGTACAAATCAGCGATGTGAACGAAAGCTTCGAAATCTTTGGTTTTGATAGCTTTTATCAAAACGAGGCTCCCGCCACCCTCTTCATACGTAACATAGTGGCTGTTGAGAAGTCGCGAGGGAGGGAATGGGACTTTCACTGCCGGAGATATTTGAGCGATGTCTATGAAAGGTTGATTTCGTTTTTGAGCAGAGGCGGTAACATCCGAGGCTGCAGAGTCATCATCGCTCAGATTATCCTCATCATCCTCGTCTATCAACATAACAGTCATCAGAACAATTGCTCAATTTGAAACAACGCGACTCACCGAGATTGATATTATTGAGCCTGAAAGCTACTTCTTTCTCGTCGACTGGTTTATACTGCGCTACACAAATGCCGAACACTAAGCGAACAGTACTCCAGTGTCGCCCCTCAATAGCAGCGACAAGTGGTGTAAGATCTGCAATATTAGGGTTAACCATTCTTGCGAAAAATGTAGAAATGGAGGTTTACAGACTGGTTTGCAACCACTGATTGGTTGGATGAGCCACTGCAACCGATACCTTAAGTGCATTTTCCTTTCCTTCATCGGGAAGACAAAGTTTTCGCACAGCAATGTCGTCCCCTTTCCAACATGCTTCAAAAAGTTCATCATATCTATCATTTAAATACATAGGAACAGCTTCCCGGGAGTAGTCGTGCTGTCCTAAGAAAAAGTACTTTGTCGAGCTAGAATTTTGCTGCCAGAGAATATGGTCATGATGGTCGATTTGTATCGAGACATTAGAAGTGGCAGTCGAACGTTTTTCAGTGTCCGCGAACAGAATGTTGTAAGTCTTGGCACCTTTCGATACGAGGAGCCTCTCAGCGTCGCCAAAAAATCCCTTAAGCGCCACGCATTTACGGATGGTTTTTTCCAATTCAACTTGATCTTCTACAAACTTCTTCTTCTGAAGTTCAGAACCAGGTAGAACCCCATTGTCAGATAAGTAGATTGTTCTGGAGACAAAGGTCCTCCAAGGTGTAGTAGGGGCAGTGGTAATTGAATCCAACTTCTTTGTTTCCAATTTCATCTTGTCCTGTTGTTCAGATATGTATCTGTTTATCCAGCCGATAGCGTAACGGGCCCAATCTAGGTAGGTGCGAAGAATCTCCTGATTCGCATATGTACTCGTTGACACCCGAGTAGCCCGGTTTATTGACGCACCAACAGAAACGAGTAGTTGAATCAAGTCAGTGTGGCAACAGAGCGCTGCCTCAACAGGATGTATCACTTGGTCCAAAGGTTCGCCGAGAGTGAAGTTAATGAAGTGGCTGACATTGTTACCATAATTTTGTCTGGAGAGATTGATCAATTAGCATGAGAAGAAGGGTAAGTGCAAAAGAGAATTTCGTACTGGTTTCGAAGTTCCTGTGCTCGCACGACATCCTCTGCCTTAAAGACGACGTTGGCACCGTACGCCAACAAAGTCGTTACCATCTCGAGGTTATTAAGCTGCACAGCAGCAATGAGAGGGAACGTCGGCCGTCCATTGTTCATGTTCATGGAGGGCAAATTCAAAACTACTCCAGCTTTCGGATCCAGGCGAAGCAAAGAATTTACCAGCTTTGTCTTCCCTGCTTCAATCATTTTGTACAAGATGGTACGACCTTGGTCTGCAGCGGAACTTGCGGCACCTGCTTGAAGCAATCTTTCGGCGATGGAACACGCCTGTTCTTCATCCGAATGGTACACTGTTAATAAGAGAGGGTGTAATCGCGGAGCGTCAGGGTACGAAGCGGTTGTCGCAAGATTCGCATCTGCACCACTGAGAAGGAGTGTGTCGATAACAGGCAAAGAAGCAAAAAGTATGGCGTATGATAGTGGGGTAAAGCAGAGGTCCCAGTCTGGGGCGTTGATATCGAAAACGTCTGGCTCTCCAGAATCATCTTCCGGAAGAGCATTATATTCAGTTGGTGTTTTGGGACGTTCACTGACTTCCTTTGATTTGGTCTTTTTGCGTGGGCTGCCATCATTATCGTCCCCATTGTCGTCGTCGACATCGTCACCATCATCTTCGTCGTCCACATCCGTGTCTTCGACTTCCTCCATAGAGATCACACCATCATCCGCAGAGCTCCAGTCATCCTCGGAAGAATCCCGCACTGCTTCCTTCACCTCCACATCACCATTCCCTTCTTCTGCGTCTCCATCCTTCTTCAATAAGTCCTCGTTCATCTTACTCCGCTCTAGCAGCTTTTTTACTACCTTGAGCTGATCCAACTGTGCCGCAATATGCAAAGCGGTCTTTCCTTCAGCTAGTCTCGACGTGATTCTCGCACCGGCATCAATCAGATCACACGCGACATCTTCTGCCTTTGCGAGGACTGCGACATGGAGAGGCATGCGCCCGACGTGATCACGACGATTTACGTCAACACCTTCCGCAATCATTCGAGCAACCGCCGCACGATCCGAAGTGATTATAACCTGGAAGAACTTCTCCGTGGGTCCTATAAATACTTGGGCACTCCATTCTGAATCGTCGATGGGATTGAAGGAGCCGGAGAGGGATTGTCGGCCGGGGTCTTGTTGAACGAAACTGCGAAGATGATGAACAAGAGCAATGAAGAACAGTATAGGTGCGATGAGGACATAGACTTACGAAATCCTCCCCCGAAGATACTGCTTGTCTTCTTCTTCCTGGAGCTTGACTTCATCCTCGTCTATTGGTTTTGGGCAATCCTAACATGAGAAGATTAGTTAGTGAAAGACGACGACCAAAGGAGATATGCCGCACCTCGCAGCAATCTTCCAAACATTCTTCAATGGTCCCGAAGAAAGCAGGATGACGATGAAGGCGACGATTTTTGTTCTTTGGGTTGAAGGTGGCTGAGAAAAATGACAGCGTCACACTCAATAAACTTGACACACACACCACTACTCACAGTTCATTCCGAGATCCTGAGAACAAATGGAAACAATTAGCATGAAATTAATCTCTCTGACATTGAAGGAATCACCGTCTGGTAAATCAATTTATCGATCTTCCTCGCATCCCACCCAGGTCCATACGGGATATGCAATGAGACCACGTCATAACTGTTCATCTCCAAACCCCCGATTGCAACCTCATTCTTCAGATCTCCCTTCAATGTTCTCTTCTTCCTTATATAATATGGTACACTGTTCGCATAAGACCTTCCTCTCAACGTCCTTCTCGATTGGAGAAAGATCTCTCGGGCGTTGGGGTACTTGAGCTTTTCAAACACCAACAACCGCGCAAGACCTTCGACACGCACTATGGATCGCTCGTAGATTGTCGGGTCAATATCAGCACGACATAGGTTTGGAACATAGATTTCGAAGGCACGAGACGAGTATTTGGTGAGACGAACCTCGTATGAGGGAGAGCGACGAGTAACATCAATTGTGTTACACTGACGCATAAGGGCAGTGATAGCTCTGGGATTAGCCCAGATTCGTCTACCATCATATGCACAACAGGGCGCGTCAATATCGAATCCGGCTAGGATTTCAGCGGGAGACGTGTAGAGTCGCAGGACAATTTGGACAGAGCGGTAAGGATATTGTGCTAGAAAGGAGTGCAAACTTAGATCGCGTGAATAACAATAACGAGGAAGGAAACGGACAATGAATGGAGACAGTGTGCTTGGTTCGTACGCAGGTCACATCCCACGGAACGGAGTCCCTTACCGCCTCGTATATCGTGACGATCTTGGCTTCGGCCTTGTGAAAAACGACTGAGCTGCCTGTATCTTTGTAGCATGAAAAAACGGACCTGTTGTGGAGTAAGTCCCCATAAAAATAAATCTATATCTGAAGACGGATAGGCGGATCCATGATAATACTTCCTGATTGCCCTCTTCGACACCTTGGCCTCTTCAGGCAATGGGACCAAGCAGGCCAGCACAGATCCTCCAGCAGCAACGACATTGTTCCAGTCAAGCAGTTGTGAAAGAGACCCTTCACTAAAGACGGTCCAATTCTTCTGAAATTCTTCCAAAGACGGCACCATACACGCAGTACCCTCGGCTTTGCGATCCTTGGGAGAAAGGGGCATAACATACTTTCCGTTGAGGTCTTCCTCGTCTTTGACTATGCGAGCACGAATAGTCCTGATGTCGGGCGGCGCGTCGAAGACATTTACAAGGCCAACGTAGGGATTCTTCAAACGATTATTATCCTTTTCCGTTGCGAAAAGTCGGCGGAGTGCAGCTTCGTCATCGAGAGACGGCTGCAGGACGCTTTCCAGTGAAACTCCAGGTCCTTTGGGCAAGGCCAGAACACGGTCAATGAACGCTTGTGCTTCTGAGTTCTGGGGCATATTGAAGGTCAAAAATTGATGCAGGACGACAGCAGACGAGACTCATTTTATAGGTTCAAGTTGGGCGCTCGGGTGTAAACGTCAACGAACTCTGTATAATAGGTAATGATCCCGCCCACTAACCCCGCCCACTAACAGGGCCTAATATGGTAAAACGGTCTTGCAATTCCGCCTTTCTCAGGCAAAGTTATCATTCACATCAAATTCACATACATAATTGAGTCACACTGACTCAAACGTCGGGGATTCTTTCATTACTTCCCTATACAGAAATCCCGGAATACAGCGTCGAGAACGTCCTCTACGTCAATGATCCCACTGATTTTCCCAACTGCTTGGGCTGCATAACGAAGTTCTTCGGCTCCGAGAACAATATCTTCCGAAGCTATGAGACGAGCGAGTCACAAAAATGGGGCAAGAAAACACGAGGGTGGCACACACAATATTGCAAGAATGACGCTATGAATTGAGACGCAGAGGTCAGATGTGTACGGTGTCGGGCATGTGTAATGAGGGGTGTTGTCGTGCCTTGAGCATCGCTCGTGTCATATCTGAATATCAATAGACAAGCTCACTAGATATCTTAAACGAAGGAGTTGGAACTATTACCTCTGCTTCAACATTTCAGTAAATGAGCTTAAGAATTCGAATGTACGGTGCCCTGTTTCCAAACTAGCAATCCAAGCATTTTTACCTAGCGCGCTTTGAATTTGGATATCAGATGGTTGGGTTTGAAGAAGATCGGACTTGTTGAGCAAAAAGCAGGTTTCGGGGGTAATTAAGTCCTTTGACGACGACGGAATGTGGAAATAGGAGCTTTCGTAAATCTCAGGAAGAGATAAAACGCACAAAGACAAGTCGGAAGCTTGAACCCTGGCAAGATAAGTCAGTTCTTGATAAAAGCAATGTTTCATAGGGAATAACGCACATGCTTTTGGCACGCTCAATTCCAATGCTCTCAACAAGGTCATCGGTAGCGCGAAGACCTGCCGTATCTGCCACAATCAGAGGTAGACCACCGATATCTAGCGACAATTCAAGTATGTCTCGAGTAGTCCCAGGCAAAGATGTCACAATTGCCGCCTCCCGCTGAGCTAGAAGTACAGACGTCATAAAGAATCTTAATAAGCAAAGCACTTGAAGTAGCCATATACCTAAAAAATTGAGCAAGCTGCTTTTACCCGCATTCGGAGGCCCAAAGATTGCTACACGGAGTCCGGATCGAATGATCTCACCCCTTCGACCATCTTCAAGGTGGGCCTGGATTGTTTGGTGCAACTGAAATGCTTTGGCTCTGGCTATCGCCGTGTTCGATAAATATATGTATGTAAGAGACTTTGTACATACCTTGCTCAAAAACACCTTCTTCCAAATCTTCGCCTTCGCCAAAATCAATCAGAGCTTCTACCATGGCCAAGCAATGAATAATTTCTGATCTCAGGTGTTCAAACTGGGCTCGGGATGCTCCCTGATATTCCTAGGTCAACATTTTCCAAACTCCTTGACGAAGAATGCTCACCTACACCGGCAGCCTGAAGAGCTATGCGCCGTTGAGTTTCTGTCTCGGCATCAATCAAATCTTTGAGGCCCTCGACCTGCGTGAGGTCCAATCTGCCACCTTGGAACGCTCGTCGCGTGAATTCACCTGCTTCCGCCGGCCTACAAAACGACAGAGCTGATAGGGCATTTAGAACAGAAGATATGATGGCTCTTCCGGAGTGTATATGTAACTCTACTACATCCTCTGAAGTAAATGACTTTGGTGCTGGGAAGAAGTTCAGCCACAAAAATATCATTCATAAATACTAAACCTACATTTGAAGAACACAGCGAGCCCATCATCCAACACTTCTTGTCGTTCCGGATGTACAATTTTACATCGTTGAAACTTCCATGGATCCGGAAGGCGTTGAGCAGCCGTTTTGATGATACTCTTCCAGACTTTCAGAGCATCTGGCCCTGATATCCTTATAACAGCGACTCCTGCTTTGCCCATTGGTGTCGAAAGCGCGTAAATGGTGCGTCTTTGCGCGTCCGACAAGACAAGGCTGCTATGGGATCGAGTGCATATTTGTAACCTTGTTCTGTTGAGAGAGATTTCGCTAATAGTCACCCGTCGCTCTGAGCAAGATATGCTTGAGTAATATCCTCTCAATGACAATATGCGACGAGCATTTTGAAGGATGACACTCTGCATGCAAAATAAAGGGAAGAGGAAGAGGAAGTCACAAGACACGTTGTTTCCTCGTTTCTTCTCTTCCAGCGCATTCGCCTTCGATCTCTGATCTATCCTCTTCGTTGCAAGACCTCTCTTTAGTTTATTAGGAAAAATCAAGATTTGCTTTAGCTATGGGTCAATCACGTATGCGACAAGTTTGACTACCTTTACTCTCGGTTTAACATGGACGACAGCATCTCAATTTATGGAGGACATGCAACGGCGGTCCAATTGTACGTCGGCGGTAGAAAGTGCATTCAAGGGTTTTTGACTCAACAATTCTCTGGTAATTAGTCAATCATTCTGAGCTGGAACGACTGAAGAAACGGTTCATGAAATTGGACAGGTCTGTCCATTCTCGTCTCTAAATGGCATCTTTCTTATTCCTCATTCGAACAAACTTCAATTCACAGCGATGGATCTGGATCAATAGATCGTGAGGAGTTTCTGCGAATTCCACAAATCGCATCGAACCCCCTGGCATCACGGATGATCGCGATATTCGATGAAGAGTGAGTGACAGCTTGAAAGGAATGCTGTTATAATTCTTCTCACACGTCGTGCTACAGTGGTGGAGGCACAGTCGACTTTCAAGAATTCGTAGGCGGGTTGAGCGCTTTCAGTAGTCGAGGTGGAAGAGAGGAAAAGTTACGATGTGCGTCTGCAATTACGCAAAAAAGTCTTTCGTTTTACCTATTCCAGCCTTCCAGTCGCATTCAAGGTGTATGATGTTGATCGAGATGGATACATATCAAACGGGGAGCTTTTTTTGGTACTGAAGATGATGGTTGGTAACAACCTGAAGGTGAGCACCGTTTTCTAAGCTCGACTCGCTACGCATAGGGCTTCTGCAATGGATTATCTATGTTCTTGTGTTTAGTCATACACTCTCCTTCAGTTACCTTATATGATTAGCTGAATCTCCTTGTTTATAACGAGGCTAATGCATACTATCCACAGGACCAACAACTACAGCAGATCGTAGATAAAACAATAATGGAAGCCGATAAGGACGGTGATGGAAAGCTGGATTTTGAGGAGTTTGCAATGATGGTTTCAAATACGGTACGTACCGTCTCATCTTTCCAATTCTTGCTGTTGGATGTGGACGGTCTGTGGAGAAATGAGTGGTCCCATGCGTCTGGTTATCCGCCCACCACCGGAGCGCCCTCGAGTCCCCTCTAACGATATTTACAACATCGTTCTGATTTATCTTGTTGAATCTATACAGGACATCGTGAAGCAAATGACATTGGAAGACTTGTTCTAATCGCTACTCCGCTGTACATGTACATATTTACCTGTTTCCTCTCTTTTGCTAATGAGGTATATTCGTATCCCTTCCGTTTGAGTTTTATCACCCCACATGACGTTTTCCTTACCTCTATGCAGGGCCGTAATATCTACATACGTAGTCTCCCCTAGGCAGACCAACGCAAGACAATTTTGCGTAATTAGAATATATTCGAGGACCAGGTACTAGTCTGTGGCCTTCTATCGTCTGCGGCTGATTGCTGAGCAGAATTGCCTTGCAACTTGAAGCGAATGGATGTTTTAACGATACCGAACTGGCGCGATTTGGAAACCAATCCGCTCTTCCAGGTAAGATAAACACTACGTATCTTCTCATTGCATAACACTTTTCATAGCAACAGAACTGACTGCGACATTATCGATGAAGGCTCGCGCTTGTGTAGCGTCTTGCTTTTCCTTTACCTCGTTTCCCAACTTATGATACTAATGTTTTGTGAGCAACGATATACATCAGCGCGAGCGATGTCGATACCTTCTCTACTGTATTCCAATCAGTCAATCTGGCCAGTTCATCGAAGGAAACTATCGTCCCGTTTACGACTTTTTTCATCTTGATCTCTACGTCTGAAATGGACGCCGTAGTAGCTGAAGAGTTCATTATTTGTACGACGAGGAGCGCCTTGGTTGTGTCCGATACGCCGTATCGACGAATTGCCTCGGTGATCTATGACATATCTTATAAATGAGTTGTCTTGTGGCCAAAGATCTCCTCACTTACATTGTTTGTAGGATTGAGAGCAAAGAGGATCTCGGAATGAACAGTCTTTGTCCTCAATGATCCTTGCGATTCAGCGAGAATGGCTTGATTTATAGCGGTTTCGAGATGCAATCTACTCGTTATCTACAAAAAACTCAGTATCACGTATAGGAATGCTTTCTTGTATTCATTCACCAATGAAGCATCAACGAATGAAAAATTGACTGCTTCTCTCTCCTCGTCGGCCTCATGGCCCTTCGATTTTGCGGCATCTATTATTCTTTGTTTAATCTTGTCCGGATTGCTGACTGGATAAAAGAGCATAGCATGAGCCTCATTGTTGTGGTTGAATCGAAACGACTCCATTTATCCATCGGGCACTGCCCGGCCAGGCATATCTGATCAAAAGTATCATTACTAAGTTATCCAAACAACCCTTTCTTCACCACCACCTCCGAATCCCATTCCATATCTCATCATGATTCTGAAGCTCTGGCAGCTATTCAGGGATCTTCCTATTCCCTTTCTTCTACTGTCGTTTTCCATCGTTTGTGTGGCGCTTCCAGTACACTCTACAGAACTCACACCGGAAAACTTCAAATCGAGCATAGCCAGCGGAGTGTGGCTTATTGAGCATTTTTCACCTTATTGTGGGCACTGTAGGGCATTTGCGCCTACTTGGGAAGAGCTGGCCCAAAGGAATAAGGAAGGTAGCGCAGAGTTTACGGGTGTGAAACTTGCACAAGTTAATTGCGCAGTCCACGGTGGTAAGTGATGAACAGCTCGACCATTGCACTTCAACTGAACTCATTCGATGCAACGTAGATCTATGCAGCGCCAACAATGTCAAGGGATACCCTCAGTTGAATGTTTATAACAACGGAGATTTTGTGGAAACCTTCAAGGGTGCCAGGGACGTGGAACGTTTGACAGAGTTTATAAAACGACACGCACCTACACCTCCATTACCTACTCCGCCCGTTTCAGAAACTGTACTCGAAGAACCAAACTACGTTGCGGATCCCAATCCGTCAGGCTCCGTGCTGGTTTTGGATGAATCAAACTTCCAAAGCACGATAGAGGAGGGTCCCGTCTTCGTTAAATTTTTCGCCCCGTGGTTTGTAATTCAGAGCCTTTTTGATAACTCACTCTAACTTCCGGAAAAGGTGTGGCCATTGTAAGAAGCTTGCTCCGACATGGAAGAAGCTTGCTCAAAGCATGCAACACAAACTCACAGTTGCTGAAGTTGATTGTGAATCTCACAAAGCTCTTTGCAAGGAAAACAACATCGGAGGGTTTCCTACGTTGGTGTACATCGCCGATAGTTCTCACACGGAATATGGTGGTGGACGAAAGCTTGAGCAACTAGAAGAGTTTGCGGAGAAGGCTAGTAACTCGTAAGTGTTTTGATCGGCTCAAAGCCCTACCATTCAGTGCAGGTCAAACTAGGGAACCCAAATCTATTTCGCCTGACGAGTTGAAGAACCATGTCTCCGTGGAAAAGTCGATTTACGTGCTGCTCTATCCTTCCAGCGAACCCAAACTTCCGGTGTGTTATACAACCCTTTTCCTTCACGCAACGTTCTCACCTTTCCCAGTCCATACTTAGGCCCCTCTTTTCCTCCCTCCTCGGTTCGCCTATGGTCTACACCATCGCTGATCCACCACCTTCCATGAAATCTCACTTCTCTATCCCATCAACGTCGGCGTGGGCTATTGTAGCCCTGAAAGACCATGACTACACCACTCCTGCGGCCGTATATTCAACATCTACTTCAGCCTCTTCCCTGAAAAAGGATCCTACTGAAATTGACCTCATAAAGACCTGGTTGCTGCATAATCGTCTCCCGACAGCAATTGAGCTAACTCAAGACTCCTTCCAGAACGTTATGAACTCTCCTGCACGTCCACTTGTAGTGTTAGCTGCCGTCACCCCGAACATCAAGGACAAAGTTCAGGAGCGCATGGAAGAAATCGGGCAAAAGTGGAGAGCAAGAACTCAAGGGAGTGGGATGCTTAGTGAAAATGGCCAAGAACGCCCTATAGTATTTGCTTGGATGGATCTAGGAAAGTGGAAGGATTGGATGAAGAGTATGTATGGGATTAAATATGAGGGCTCCTTAGAGCTCGACGACGTCGAGGTTGTCGTTACTGATCACAAGGTATCTCATCCTTACTTCTTGTCTGCTTATTTTATATACATCTTACTTCCCTGTTTGAAAGGCTCTAATATACTACGACATCGGCCACGCTGGGTCGCCCATAAAATTGACCTCATCGCAAAGCGTGTTCTCTGTGCTTGACGGGATCGCTCAAGGAAAGATCTCTCCCAAGAATTCGGAAAACTTCATCGAACGTGTTGCTAGAGTATGTCTGTGTCTGTTCATCAGTCGCGAACTAACAATTATACCACTTGTGTTCCCCACAGTATCTTAACAACAAACTGCAGTCTATCGAGTCCTACATCATTAATCACCCCAAGCATATCGCGTTTTTGGTTCTCCTCGGATTCGTGTTCGTTGTTTATGCCATCAGAAGAGCACTTGCGGACGAACCAATGGATAAAGATTATGTGCGCGTTGGAAAGGGGAAGGCAGATCGATTGGATTAGTATAAGTACGGATCGTCCTGCAGGTGGCGAGAGATCAGCAGTGATTATTATACAACTAATATGTCGTAAAAGACCGAGCGAATAATAGTAAGATAAATGAAGGAAGGTGGGTATCCTCGCGAAGAAAGTGTACACATTGGAATCGGACGCAACTCAACCGATAACGAACCGGGCTGATATTGATACCGGTATATCCGATCGCTGATAGGGAAGGCACACGGAGACGAGACGCAGAGATCTTTTTTTCGTTATGGGTCATGGTGAAAAGCGAAGGCAGTGTTTAGCACTCGAATGCAACTGAGGTCACCGCAAAGAGGTTGTGAGTATCCAAGGAAATAGAAGCCGGCGAAAAATTGAAGTTTTCTCTTCGAGTCTGTTGCTGCTGCGTGAATGGCGAGTGCTGTGCAGGCATTCCAAGTTGTGACATGGCAGATGGAGAAGGGGCATTGTGACTCTGCATTGCTTGTAGCTGTGCGAGATAGAACGGATCTGTTGATGTAAAGGATGATGGTTCCGAAACGGAACTAGAACTCGGGGAAGAAGGAAAAGAGGAAGTGGATCGATTGTGGGGGTTTCGGTTATGTGATTTTTGGAAAGGGCTGTTCATCTGTTGTTGCACCGCATACTGCGCAGACGAGTATCCAGCAGAGGTTGGTGAAGAAGGCATTAGAATGTCCTCTACCATTCGTTCGTCTTCGGCATCATCTATCATCTCATCCCGACGTGAAAGGTGCTGTTGGACGTCTATAAGTTGGCCCCAGCTAAAGCTCGATGATGGTGTACGTCCAGTAGGAGTGTTACAAGGCTGGTGGAAGGAATCTAGAGAGGAATCGCTTGACGAGGCAATTGGCTGCGGGAATAGCGTTTGGGCTAGTTGCGCCTAGAGATGAATTAATTTGATAAGCTCAAGCGTGAAGCCTCAGAAATGATAATGTATGTGAACCTGTAATGCAGCAAGATCTAATGCCTCCTGGCCAATGTGGCTGGAGGATAGAGAGGAAACAAGATCGTCGACTGAAAGGCTCATGATGGGAGCGAAGAAGGATGGTAGCGTTGTGGGTTACCAGATCAAGTCGCTATAAAAGTCTAAGAGACCACATCGGGGGTCAAATTCAAAAGCTCAAGTCCGATAGACACGTGTTGAAGCGCACTGCCGGTTTATCCTCCGTGTTTTCCGAGGCCTACGAAGCTTACGAAGGCCCAGGACATCCTCCCAGTTTACCCTAGTTTACCATAGCACCCTTACTAGATTCATATTATAAAGGCCGTAAAAGGAAGAAATCATGCAATTGGGATCCTCGAGAGTCGAAGCTGAAGACTTGAAAGTACAAGATCCCGTCGGAGACCTCTACATATGCTACATCATGTCATCCACAATCATATCTTTCCAGGCTTCGGCTCTGGATTGAAGCCTGCCCTGCCTGCCCCGAAGCGTACATCGAAGGGTCGGTAAGCTTTTTTCAGGTTTATCAGCACAGGAACCGGAAAAAGGACCGGTTCCCCAGCTTTCCCCATGGTCCCCCGCTGGTCAAGGCAGACTAGGCAAGACTAGGCAATTCCGGCCACTAAATCATGGAACATTTCGTGGTTCGCGACGAGCAACCGGCGGAACTCCTCCTGCGTTGATTGAGAGTCGAGATCTTCTCTTGAGGCTAGAGGACTGTACTCACTTCAATAATGGTAGGGCAAACCTTAGCTAATGTTTCGCATGTGGATCGTAGCTGCTTTTTCAGCTCTTCCCGTCTGGCTGAAGAACCCCATTTCAGCTGGAAGATACGGCAACGGCGGTGATAGAATGCTTACAGCTGTCGTCGGTTGACTGTGTATCGGTTAAATTTATCCAACAGCGGCTTATACCATCTATTACGGTTCCCTTCCACTGCAGCATTCTATATGAGCATTCATGTATAACGATCGTGAGCGCACGCAAGGAAGAAATTTGCAGCTCGAATGGGGACACTGTGAAAGGCACCGGAATCAGAGGGTGTAACAGTTGAGGTATCAGTGCCTAGAAGGACGGCGGGGTTATGTGGCGATTCAGTCCGTACAAGAACTTGCGGATACCTTGAGATATCGACTGCTTCCTAAGCCTAAAGCACTCAATAACGGGGGAAGGGAGTCTACCGAGGCCTGAACAACCCCGAGCTTGTCGTAAGAATACAACCAGATTGTTCCAATGATTCTTTCTCCTAGGAGTGCGCACAGCTGATCAAATTGCGCTGGAGATCCCAGAGTTGTCGTGATCAAAGACAGTGATAAGGAAACCGGAACTGTAGCTTGTATTAATTGGGGAGATTTAACATCATCCAATTGAGCTAGACAGTTATTCAGAGACTAAGCAGAATGAATCAGGTCAGATCAGATTCGAAAATCAAGGCGACGGATTGATCTACTGTCAGAATGAGTCCATCCACACCAGTACGTTTTAGTATTTCTCTGGGTACGTGCTGAAGAAGTTCTTCAACCATCTTGACTCCTTTCAATTTATATGGAACTTGATAGTCATCAAGGAAAGTCATTATCGGAGGGATAACGAGATACCAGAGACGGCCATAGTCTTGACTCTGTATAAGTAACTCCAATTGTAGATGGTCGCATAACATTTGGGAACTCATACCTGGATATGACGCAGACACCAAAATACCAGATTACCCGCTGCGGGGTAATTCTTCCAAGTTTGAGTCTCATAGAAATCCTGCGAGCCCATAGGACCACCCGCTGGTCGACTTAACTTACGTCCGGTAGATGGGTTCAGCAACGGATGAAGGCTAGAGCGGAAAGGAGGGTTAACATTCTGCTCCAACAGCTGCAACATGAGCGAAAGATTGGGTTCGGAAAAGTTTGACAATATTTCTGCAGTTCTAACTTTCAAAACAACAGTCGAATAAGGAGTAAATTATTCCGCGTACCTGTGGCCAGAGCACGAGATTCAGGTGAGGTCCAGGGCTCTGTATCACTGAAAGAAGCGACTGCTGCAATTACATCTGCTTGTTCTGTCACCGAGAGCTCTTTTTCATTGATCGATCCACTGAGGTCGCGTAGAAGCTGCACAGTCGAAGCCTTCCATGTATCTAGACGAGATATGTCATCTGTGGACTCATAGCGCGCGTATTCACTTGGAATTTGAAGGGACTGAAGAGTTTTCTGAATATCGTGCTCTGACATCGGGATGACCGAGGAGAATCAAAGGAGAATTTTCGGCAAACGCGCATCGTCACGTCACGTCACGTCATGCAGTGAAGCTATTAGTGTTACTGTTGGCCAGTCTCTTCCTTCTCCATCTCCTCAATGAATGAATCGTTAATTAGTAAAAAATATCTCCTCGAAATTTTTGCTCTCTGCTCATGATTGATCCTAGGCCCATTCAATTTTAGTCATCCTACTGCTGTTCAAACTTCACTCTATGCTCTCGGTTCATTCGCTCGTTTCGACCCCTCGGGAAGGTTCGTCGGTGTAGGACGATTCGACGGCTTGGCCACAATATGGGATCTTGAGACTAAAGCCGCTGTTCGATGGCTGGATGGACACGTAAAAGCTGTGACTAGCTTGGAGTACGTACTTTGAACTGTACCATTGTGAGTAATATTCTAAATCAATTTCAGTTGGTCAAGGCATTCTCGCTATGTGCTGACGTCCTCAAAAGATTGGAATGTCATCGTCTGGGACCTCGCGTCTGTGTGTGATCCGCCTCAACGACATGCAACTATCCGCTGTGACGCGCCGGTTTCTTCAGCTTCGTTCCATCCGAGAAATAGGTAGCGACGTTCATCACAAGATTTCTTTTGAGTTGACCACATCTGCTCAGTCAAATAATTCTAGCTCTACTGAATACCGGCGAGGTTTACCTTGTCGACTTGAGACCGAACCATCGGTCACGAACGGAGTTGTACGAGCCGGATGGTGACGAAGACGGAACCGAAGGACAGTCGAGTAGAAGGTATGTCATCATCTACACTTGACTGAATTGTTTCCAATTCATATGAATACAGATACGCGATGACAGTTGCGCGTTTCGATCCTTCAGGCAAATACGTCTTTGTCGGCACATCCGGCGGATACATATTGGTTTTCAACACCAGAACGAAAGCTGTTAGTGCTATTATTCCCATACTCTTTTTCTGCGCCCAAATTCTCATTTGAATAGATGATAGCGCGACATCGAATAGCTGGTGGAGCTGGAACGATCAAAGGGATGGATTTTGCAAAGAACGGTCGGTGAGTTCTGAATCAGTATCTAATCTTATGTCGTCTGACTGTAGTTCTACTTAAAGTCGCCTTGTCACAAACTCCTCCGATCGAACCCTTCGCCAATTCATAGTCCCGCATTATCCTCGGTCTAGCGAAACCGGTGGCGAAATATTCATAGAACAAGAACTGGAGCCCACCCATCGATTCAACGACCCAATCAACAAAACGGCATGGCATGCCGTATCCTATAGCCCGGATGGTGAATGGTTAGCTGGCGGTGACTATCTTTCCGCACACCTTCTGGCTGCACGATTGATGAACAATTCTAGGCGCTGCTGATGCCGCAAACCACAAAATATATATCTGGGATATCTCAAACGATGGTCAATTTGCTAGTACGCTAGACGGTGGAAGGGAGCCTCTGGCGCATTTGCATGTACGAATAGTATTTTGTCTATGTTTCCCCGACGTTTGATTGACGCCCATGTAGTGGCATCCTTCGAAAGCTTCAATAGCATCGACTACTAATCAAGGGAATATCCTCATATGGCACAGTCCAAATGCCGAGAGATGGGGTGCTTTTGCTGGTGGATTCGAAGAGGTTGATGAAAATGTAGAGTACGAGGAACGTGAGGATGAATTTGACATTGTAAGTGATACTTTCGCTTTCTTCTGTTGGAATTCACGTCTTTTTACGTCCGATTGGCTGTGTAGGAAGACGAAGCGGAAATTCTTCGACGAAAGAAGGAAGCAGAGCAAGATGATGTAGACATCGATACCATTGACGGCGAGACAACGGATGCGCGTGGGCACCCTGCATTGAATGGTGTACATGCAAGTAATGGTAGTGGTGGTCATGGCATTGGTATAGGAGGAAACTTTGATGAGGATATGAAATGGGCAGATGAGGATGCAGATGATGATCTAGGAGTTTGGAAGATGAAGATCCTCATGGATGATGATGATATGTAGATGCTACAGGTTATGTTACATGCTTACTTTTCATTCTTTATGATTATTCATATACAATAATGATATTTAAATTTGCCACTTAAGAGATATCGATACATGATCATGGGTACTATAGTGTAGCTGGAACATACATTACAAATACATACCGAACAACCCTACGACCCACAGCTCTACCACCACGCAGGGACCCAATCAAGGTGTACCCATATCAGAAGAATGGAGGAAGGCAACAGACGAGGATATTACTTATTTGTTTCCGTGACTCCCCGCGCCTTAGTACCTAGACTTACTTACTTGCGGTTAATGAAGAGTTTAAAAAAAAAAAACAAAAAAGTGTAGCTGGAACCTTGCATACTACTTGATGCGTCAAAGCTAACCCTAATTTAGGGTTAGGACGATGAACCATCAAATAAAAAGAGCCCACCCAGCCAGAGTGGCCGATGTGGGACAGGAAAATATTGGGACGGTGCATAAGCCTGAGCCTATACAAGCCGCAGACACCCTTTGAATGGACAAGGTCGCCGTGCTATGAAGGATCTCCACGGCCCACAAACCCGGGTACATGAAGGGGCTTGTGCCATCAAGGTAAGTATGAGGAGTCCTGACGCAGACCATTTGTTTTTATACCCAAAAATAGCGCACGGACCATTCTGAGTCACGTGCGCTCTTCCAACGCAAAGATCAAGTCAGCGCTTACCATTACCAGAATGCCTCCCAAAGCTTGTGCACTATGTCAGAACGCCAAAGCAATTCTCAAACGACCGAAAACTGGTCAGCAAATCTGCAAAGACTGCTTTTTCTATGTATTTGAAACCGAAGTGCACAACACTATCACTCAGGTCAATCTTTTTTCTCGAGGAGATCGTGTCGCTATTGGTGCTTCTGGGGGGAAAGGTGCGCCATCCCACACCTTCATTGCTCCGTGCGTTGATAGATCTCTACTCAGATTCGACTGTCCTGGCATATGTTTTGAAGACATTGAATGAGCGATACGATTATGGACTACACCTGTTCCTTCTTTCCATAGATGAAGGGATAACTGGATATCGAGACGACTCTCTCGAGGTTCAAACGGGTTTTATTCATCTTTGTTGGATCGCGATCTGATCTAACCTGTAGACCGTAAAACGAAACCAACAACAATACGACATGCCTCTCAAAATCTTATCATATGACGAACTATACGGATGGACGATGGACCGAATAGTCTCTCAAATTGGCAAGAAGAATAACTGCACCTTCTGTGGCGTATTCAGACGGCAGGCGCTCGATAGAGGTGCCGCAATGCTAAACGTTGATCACATCGTTACTGGTCACAATGCAGATGACATTGCAGAAACGGTTCTAATGAACAGTACGTCCTCATGCCCATATCCATAATTCGGGCGAGTGATCGACTATTCAATGTAGTCATGAGAGGAGATATTGCTCGTCTCGGTCGTTGTACATCAATAGTCACCCAAGGAGAAGATACAATCAAACGGTCGAAACCTTTTAAGTACGCATACGAGAAAGAGATCGTCATGTACGTTGCCACCTTCCTTTCGAATAAATTCACAGTTCACCATCATCACAGGTATGCCTACTTTAAGAAACTCGACTATTTTTCCACCGAATGCATATACTCGCCCGACGCTTATCGAGGTCATGCGCGTACGTTCCTCAAAGATTTGGAAGCAGCTCGTCCCAGTGCCATCATCGATATCATCCATTCTGGAGAAGCCTTCGAAGTTCGAGAGGAAATCAAGGCGACCCAAAAGGTTCAGCGTGGGTACCAGTTGTTGCTGGTGGTAATGGTAAACGCTCACACCATGTGTCACATAGGAACATGCAAACGATGTGGATATATGTCTAGCAATGACCTCTGTAAGGCATGTACTCTGCTTGAGGGATTGGAACGAGGGATGGCGTCTTCAGGAATTGTAAGTCCTGTGTCGCCTTCTTATGAACGCTGATCATCAGTACATCATTTGACTCGTCCCATAGACTGATCGTGCACGCAAGAAATTGGATGCTGAAGGACCCTCTCCCGAGAACCTACGCACGATACCATTTTACCAACCTCCGTCAGGAAATCCAACAGTTATCATTGATTCAACTGCTTAAAACACGGAAATAAAATATTTGTAGCTATATCTATACCAGATCTGTACTCGCCTAATTTACTGACTGTATCTCCGTGTAATTTCACGTTCGAAGTCATAGATGATTTGAATCGCTTGTTTGGGAGATAATGGAAAGCAAACGACATATTGCGAGAAAAATCCTGGTTGTCAACTAGAAAGGATGCGTGAGTAAGTGCAAGATAATTTCTTCAGAACCAACCAGGATGTCATGACGGTGCCAGATGATACTCCTAGTCTAATATAGACACCCTGATGCTGGAGCATTGAAAGGAGCGCATGTAAATTGGCACGACGAATGAGAGAGAAGAGAGAAGTTTATAGATCAAAGCGTGCTCATCCAGACTCATGCTGATCTACAATGCGTATGGCGCCCGCACATGGCAAGGAATCGAACCTTAGTAGGACAGATCACACCAGTAACAAGCCTCAAGAATACTCCCAAGCGAATGCCAGATGTTACTCTCTGGTCTGAACCACAAAGACGCTGTGCCATTATACTAGGTGATCTGAAGGATAACTCGTTAAAGCTTTCATGTTTGAATTGCACATCAGGTGATGACTTTTGCCCCAGTCAGCCCCGAGTCACTTGCATATTGAGCTGTTCAATCTATAATGAAGACGCTCGATGCTAGAGAGAGCAAGACGGATTATCTACATAGTCGTAGACTATCAGGTAGGTTCAATCGTCACAGTGATTGAATTTTTGAAAGTATTAGTCATGTGCATGCAGCGTGATCGTGTTAGTGAACTTTAAGAAAAAATCCCATCCCGAGATAAACGCGTCTCTCATCACCCGTCTTGATGTTCGGAACTCCGAAGGAAAATTCTGATGGTTCATGAGCACATATGCTCTTCGCGAACTAAATGATGGCTATCTTCGACTAGCTAGGCCCAATTCTCTAAATTACACTGTCGTTGAAGCCAGCATCCTGGGTGATGACTCGGAAGCATGTATATGCGTACAAGATTCACGCGCTCTCGGCTAAGTATCCTATTAATTACTAAGCGCGCTTCTTTCTTCCACTCTCATTCTCTAGTTGAGAACTTACTATGAGCCCTAAGCCTGATCAATCCGGGATGGTCGAAGTACTGTCGCAAGCTCTGAAAGAATCTCAGGGTCGTGCGACTAGACTGGAAATAGAACTTCAAAGTGCTGTCGCTGTACGCACAACGCCCTTCCATACTAGAAAGTCTCTATCCTCATTCTGCTTTCTATTTTTTAGATCTCCGAAGACCTCAAAAAACAGAACTTGCGTCTGTCGCAAGATGTGATGAAGCTTTCAGGCCCTAAGCACGAACCGGTCGAGGATAGTAAAGTGCCAGTCATCTCGGACGAGATTTCTAGACTGGAAGAAAAGAATGCCGAGCTAAGGGTATGTAGTGTGCTCTGGATGCTTACAAGTTGCCATCTAAACCTTTCGACAGACAACAATCTCAACCCTCGTTGGTACATTCTGGCATCTACATCGCTCAGCGCTCACAACCTTGGCACTAGAATACGAAAGTTGAAGAGTTTCAGGAAGGTTTAGAAGCAGCGGTGCGTAGGAACCTGATTTCGTATTTCCTAATTACAACTTGACCCTGTAGAATAAGCGTAAGGTCAAGCTAGAGGTATCATTGACCAAGGCTCAAGAGGAACTCAAAGGAAGAGTATGTATACATTTAGTGGGCAATCGTTTTCTAATTTTAGATTCTCTAGAAGGAGCACATCACAGAGTTCACTTCAAAATATTCTCAATCAAAACAAAAGAAAAAGGAACTACAGGGAGAATTGAAAGCAGCCGTGCGTAAAAGCTGTGTAATCTCTATGCTGGGGCGTGCCTCAATAGTTGCATCTAGAGTGAACGCGTGGACGAGCTCGAAGACTCGTTAATTCAGCTTCATGAGAAGTATGCCAAGTTAAAACACGAAAACAAGGAAATGCAACAGGCAAGCTCAATTTTATCATAACAACTAACAATATACTATAATGGTCATCAGGAACTACAAAGCACCAGAAAGCATGACGAGGTAGATCCCTGCTATCTGAACTTTGGTGATGTGGCGCTGATGGATGTTGTAGATAAAAGCACAGGTATGTGATTTATTTCGCGCTAATAAAATGTAGTTCTTCACCTCGAAAATACCTGCAGTCTATGGGGCTGCATAATAAGATGAAGACCACCGTTCTGCACCTTCCATTGTTTTCTCCCCGTCCGAAAACCGGGGCCTTACTGGCGGCCGCAACAGCTCACAATGCCAATGTTCTTGATTTTCTCCGAGAAAAAGTGAGCACGCTGCAGCTTTGACTCGTACCATACTGTTAGCTTCTTGACTGATGGAGCTTCGTTCAAGGCACCGAGTTATCACTGGTAGGAGAACCATCTATTGATGAATTTTGAATCACCGATATCGAGGTTTTCTACCCAGGTCTGATCAGTCTATATTTTACATACCTACAGGACTTGCACCTGTGGGGTCTAAGCAACACTACTTGAGGTATCATCTTGTTTCAGAAATTATCCCAAACTCCGAATTTCGAGTCGGACCCTCATACAAGAGTCCAAGTCATGATCCGGAAACTCGAGAGTTATTCACCCAGTCTGCATATGGCTTAAAATATTTGGGCTTGTATAAGCGCTTCTTCTATGACAGCCTTGCGTTTACAGGAATGATGCTCCCTTCCTCCATGGTATGTGAGGATGATCGAACTCATTATGGGTCACGCTGTCTTGCTGATATCTTGCCGGTGCCAGCCAGACCAACTTCCACTGTGGGGATGAGCCAATGTCTTCGCGGTGAAAATGAAGAGAAAATGCAAGGATTTTTACCAAAATTCGTCAAAAATCCTGAGCATGAATTTTAAAACTTTTCGTGTGGCAATTATTGTGAAGCTATCGTGAATTTGGCGGGGGGGCATGCTTATTTTAAATTATCTTTTCATAATTTTACCATAACATCAGCTCAATTCCTTCAAGATATCTGCTGCCATATTTTTGTACATAACCTCGAGATAAAACCCACATTTTCGCCTCGAGGAAATCGGCTCATCCCCGCAGTGTTCGTTGTGTTGTGGAAGAAGCAGTCCACTCCGCGGGAGCTTCTCCGAATTCTGGTTTCCCGTCCCGCGAAAGTTTACAAGACTTGTATGATAATGGGACGCTCAAGGTCCAGTGTGCAATCTACCAATGCGTTGGTTTCAACAAAGACTTGTACACGACTCTTACACAATATGAGAGCCGCGAGGGACTAAAGCGAAAGAGGTCTGAATCGGGCGACGGGAAGGCCGGGAACGTTGGACAGGAGAAAAGACATCAGGGAAGTAAAAACATGCCATTAAATGGAGAAAAATAGAAATTATCGTATGACTATCTACTAGCATTCATGTAGCACTAAGGACAAATTCTGTGTGCTCCACATTCTCGTACATAGATCTAAGTACATTCTCGTAGAGTCCATTGTAGCGCTAAATAATGGATTCGGCGCTTCTACATAGACTCATTATCCTTTGCTCGTAATCAACAATGCGCTGAGCATAACCTCAAATGTCATCTATATCAGCTTCAGCATCTTCAACGCCTGTCGACTCCCACCCACTTTCTCCCGATGAGATCCTTTCATCTTCACGCTCTCGCAGGAACCGAGTTTCCAATTATTCCACCCAAAATGCACTGCCGACAAACTACTTTACACTGAAAGCCCAGCTGGAGCAGCACCAGTTTGACAATGATACCTGGGATGGTAGTGTGCGGAGGCTGGCCAAATCTGATAGGCAGAACTCACTGGACAATGAGCATTTTCGGGCCAACCGGCCGTCTTTAGCTTCAACTTTCTATAGCGATGATTTTTCGCCGGAGACAATCACAGCGCCTCTGATTATTGTTGGATCCGACGACCAGCATCTACCTGTCAATGATATTGTTGATCCCACCGGTGCCAGCTTACAGGAACTGGCCATAGACCCTGTCATTACTTCTCGAGTTTTGACAACGAAATGGCACGAATACTCTGACGAAGCTATCCAATCTGCCATTTCCAGTATCAGCATCTCCGAAAGCCCAGCTGAAGTATCTTCACATCCTTACCATTCCGCGCTTCGTGTACTTTCTGCGGCGCTGCATAATCTCTCAAAAGCCAGGCTTGAGCTTGAACAGAGCCGGAAAACATTGATAGAGAAGGAAAATGCCAGACGTGCTAAATCAGAAGAGCTTGCACGAGAGATGAAGGGTGAAAAGGAGAGAGAAATTGCTAGACGTGTCGTGAAGGAGATTTTCGGTAACAATGATGTCGAGGAGGGCGAACAACGTTCACGAGTGAGAAAGCAGCATAGCCATATGGTCCGCCAAACCCCGTATTTCTATCAATATTGATCACTGACAAAGGGTGTAGTCTCTTGCGGATTCCATCTCAGAAGCTATTGAAGATCAAGTACCTCTTTCTCGTAGTGTGCCGCCAGACCCAATTTTGACACCTATTCCTTCATCGCCAAATCTCGACGGACACAGCCCAGGCGATGATGCAGGTTCTATTGCATCTCGGGCCTCACAAACTAATGTATCCAAGGATGACTCAACCGAACCACTCACCATCATTCCTGCTCGTACTGCCTCTGCTGCCTCGGACAGATCGACAAATACCATCGGCGACTGGATGGGTTCATTATGGGGTAAACGTGGACCCCGGTCTCGTGTTGTTTCTACAACTGAGGCTTCTCTCAGTAATAAGCCCACTGCGGAGGACTCTGCTATTGAAACTCCTGTGCCGAGATCAGGAGCTCATCCTCGGCTTCAGCGACGAAAGACAGCTAAGAGCGTGTTTGGTACATTGGGAATTTCAATATTGAATCCTGGCTTGACTTCTTCCTCCGCGAAAGATAATCTCCCCGAAGTCGATCGAAGTCCAATTAATTACGCTGACGGGGAAAATACGGCGACGCCCAGTAATCCACAGACCAGTGTCACTGCCTCTCGCTCTGTCGTAGTTGGAGCAAGGGATGAAATCTCTCCATTAGTAGATGACATCAGGAAAACCACCCTCCGGAAATTTAGCATTAACTTTCCAAAATTACCCAAAATAATGTAAATTACCTAGAATATGCTAATTTGGGTGAATACGCTAATTAGCCAGGCCCCCCTCCCCAATTACCATAATTTCGACTAATTCCCGGAGTATTACGGAGAAATTAGAGCTAAGTTATAGGAAACTTTCCCAAAAAATTCTTCACATTTTATGTGTTTGTTTCGTAATTTGTCAATCTTTTTCCAACCCAAGCATGAAGTAAAAAAAATGAAGACATTTATTCGCAATGACTACTCCCTACTACAACCATATGTACACTACACTATTATTTACAGCCCGAGAAATCAATAAATCAAAACCTCAAATTACTCTACATATATACTCAGTATCTACAGTCATTGTGTACAAATCCAAAACTGACACAACTTCGAAACACTCATATACTTATTGAGAGTCACTAGGGAAAAATTACAATGCATTAGGAGTTTGTATTACACATGGAGAGAATGGATACGCACCACATCTATAAACCCCCTTGAAAGACTGAAATCCATGACAACAAGAAACTACGGTTAAGCTGGATACATATGAGTTGCAAAAAGTAATAGAGACTAGCACACACCTTGAGGTCTTAAATCCAGCAACAATTCAATATAAGACGAAGCATACCATGACATAAGGTGCAGGAAATTGTGGCTGGAGAATGAGGACATGCAGCATTGTGGGTGAATGAACAAGAGTGAAGGAGGCAGGCAAAATATTGAAAATCGAACCATTTATAATTATATTATTCCATTTAAACTCCGACAGCGCTCAGCAGAGTCAACGCACCAGCGCTTAACACTTAGTTGTTTTTTTAACTTAGTCTTACACCAGCATGCACGTTGGGTCAAGGTATCAATCATTTCAGGTTGCCAAAGACATCATGAGCTGAACCAGGGTAAAGTACAGTAATCAGCAGGAGGAACAGTAAGTATAATGCCTTGTGTTTAGTATCACTAACTTCGAAGTTTCAAGCAAAACTGAATAACCAAATAATCTGTACTAATTTTCCAATAACTTTTTGAAAATTTTTTGGAATATTATTGAGAGCAATTACAAATTTGATAATTCCAGTTAATAAGCCCAATTAGCGAGATTTTGAATAATTACCAAATATTAATGCCAAATTTGCCGGAGGAGGTTTTCCTGATGGATGGCGTTTCTGTACGGTCAGGCCGATCAATCAGGTCCGTACGGACGACGCACACTACCCACACAGCGACTACCACATACACGATCAACACTGTGAGTTCTTCTGCTGCTGGTTTTTCGGCGGTATCATCTCCCGTGTTGCCAGCTCCACCACAGCTGTCCATGAACACGAGTTTAGAGACATCCACTACGACATCTTCTACAACACTAGGTACGAATACGAATACGAAATCGATTTTTTCGGAAGAATCACCGACGCTTCCAGCTCCAGGGCCACCAGTTCAAGGCTCTTCACTCCGTGCGATCGCTAATGCTACTCGAGTCATGTCTTCCGATCCATCTTCGATTCTCAGTGATCCTGGAGAGACAGGACCATTGATTAAATCGTTGGCAATGGATCTCATACGGAATGCAAGGGAAGAGGGTGTGGTGTTCAGGGAATCTCGTCCTGCGCGTACGAAAGGTCAAAAGTTGAAGACAAATAATATCCACCCAATTATGGAAGGTGTAAATTCCCCAATTATATCTGACGCCAGCGCAGCTTCGTTTGCATCATTTAGCACCGATGGTGATAATGCAAGTAATGCGATTCCGCATACTAGTGATGCAGCGAAGAAGCTTTCTCGTGCGCTTGGGCTCGGCTCTGCATTGGAGGTAAATTCTAAACCGACTCGCGGCGGCGGGTTCAAAAATACGGTCAGTTCCATTGTCCCTCTACCTTCACCTTCCATATTCGGTGGGTTTTCCTGGCAAAGTACGACACGACCTCGGAAAGGAGGACCTGCTTCAGCATCCAGTAACACTCCTGGAGGGACTAGTTCTGCTGGAGCTATTGATGACACAACCTCAGGGGGTAACAACAAATCTTCTGCGCAGGACGGTGGTATCAGTGCCGTTTCGCCCGTCTCTAGCGGGGGGAAAAATCGAATACCCAATGCCCCCTCAGTCCCACTAGAGTCTATCATCCCAGCTATTGCTAAGCCTCCAACACAGTACCTCTCGCGTACCTACACTCCACTGACATCGAGGAATTTTCGATTCGACATCAATACTATTAATAATGCTCATACTAGCATTGTCAGTCCTGGACCTGGGGGTGCTCCTGCTTCAGCAAGAAGGCTTTCATTTCCTCTTCCCCCTAGCACACCCACTGGGTCTTCGTCTCCGTCTGGTTTGGTATTGCTGACAGACCGATATGGGTTCATGTATGATGTGTGTCAGTACGATGTCCTTCTCCTCCTGAGGGCACGTCATTGTAAATGTACTGCTCCCGCTTGCTTAACAGGAGTTAAGATAGCGGATAGGGAAGAGGATAACACGTGGCCTGATTCGGAAGAAGAAGATGAGGATCAAGATGGACAAGCAAAAAAGAGCATTCAGATTGTCAAGGAGGGTTGTGAGTGTAATGGAGATGGCAATGGTCCAGACTCAGACAAAGAACCCAAGACGATCGTATCAAACGAGGGCGATGTTGTAGACGATGGGAAGAGTATCAAGAGCATTGCCACAACGCAGTCATCTCTTGCAGGTTCGAAGAAAGGGTCATTGAAAAACAAGTCCCGTTCATCCTCTCAAAAAGGTCTTCCACATGCAACAAACACCCCTTCTGGCTCCCCCCCAATCCTTATTGCGTCTTCCTTGACCAACTCCGCTGCATCGATCCTTGCTGTCAACGCAGATACTCCGCGTCACGCATGTCCTAACACCGTCCGACGGCTGCTCAATGATCTCACGTCTATACATGACCAGCGGCAGGAAGCTCAGAGAAAAGACTGGGACGCGTTTGTTAGGCAACGAAGTACCGCTAAAGCACGCTCACAACAGTCACAGGCAATGAAGTCTGCTGCTGGGAATAGTGCTAGTGGAAGTAACGGTGGAGGGGCTGTAAGTAGTGCCGCAGTATTACTTGGGTTGGGTGTGAAATCATATGATGCCGGTGAAGAAGATGAGCTTGATCACAGTGAAGGTCTGATTGGCTTTGCTCAATTAGGTTTGCCCGCAAACAAGGAGGAGAGAAAAGAATTTGCGAGGTTGGTGAGGAAGGGTATTCCGTTGGTGTATCGGAGCAAACTGTGGTTGGAGTGCAGTGGTGGGCTGGAAATGCGCGAACCTGGGCTGTTTAGAGACTTGTTGGCAGATGTTGCGAAGGACCTAGCGCAGGGCACTGGTGGTGGTGTTTTAGCAGAAATTGAGAAAGACGTGGGGAGGACGATGCCTTTGAACATGTTCTTCGGTGGAGATGGTCCTGGGGTGGATAAGTTAAGAAGAGTGTTGACTGCATACAGTTGGTGAGTTCCGTAGCACCCTGTCCATGCAATATCTCAAATGCCTTGTTTTCGTCGCAGTCGCAATCCGGCAGTTGGTTATTGTCAAGGCATGAACCTCGTCACCTCAACCCTTCTTCTCGTTCATGCTGACGAAGAAGAAGCTTTTTGGGTACTTTGTGCGTTAGTGGAGCGTATTCTTCCAGAGGAATTTTTCTCTCCGTCCTTGCTTCCCTCCAGAGCTTGTCCTCTTGTTCTACTAGATTACGTACAGGAGTACACGCCCAAGCTCTCTGCACATCTCAACAACCTTGGAGTAGATCTGCCAGCGATCTGCTTTTCTTGGTTCTTATCACTCTTCACGGATTGTCTTCCTATTGAGGTGAACACATTCCACAACTGTCAATCAACTATGTTCTCATCTTTTTATGCGCAGACATTGTTCCGCGTTTGGGATGTCTTTCTAGTCGACGGTCTCGACGTCTTGTTCCGGGTCGCTCTAGCGATTTTACGCTCTAACGAGTCGGAGCTGTTAGCTTGTCAATCCATTCCTGCTGTATATGTTGCGCTAGAGAATCTGCCCACTAGGATGTGGGAGGCTGATAAGCTTCTGCAGGTGGGTTCGCTTTCATATATGTTTTGTCGCTATTGCTGATTTAGTCAATAGTTTGAAGCTGATCTCAGGAGCTCTGTCCTGCATACTGACCTCGTGCAAAAGAGGGAAACACACGTCACTTCTCTTAAGCAATTGCTATCATAAACGCTGCACTCGTCTGTCCAGTATATATCAGGTATGTATAGTCGAAAGCAAAGAGACTGCTTTGTAAAATGGCTTCACTAGTCGGACGATCTCAACATATTTTTTTAAATAATGAGTCTGAGTGCTGTAGAATATCCCAATATTTACGGTGTAATGGATGAATTCTTTGGTCCCCGGTCACTAGTATAATTAACAAGGTATTCGCGGGTGAAGCTTGGGTGAAGGCTGAGTGAAGCTAGCCAATACCAAGCTTTTTGGCGCCCAAAAACAAGGCGAAGGCGCTTGACTTTGAACGGCTTTGAACTAGTGTACCCCTGCGGGGACCTACACCTTGCTTGGTCACATTTTACAAGTGTTATTCCCACAGCATAAGTACTCCATACATGAAAACTGCAAAATAAGTTCTTTTCGACACATTGAAGAGAAGCATTATTATTCTCCTATGCTCATATTAAAGAATATGTTACTGCTTCTGAACATTTCCAACCATTTCCTCAACTCAGGCAACTGCACTGACTTGATCTGCTCCCCAGGAATGGCCAAGTGTGCAACTAGTGCCAAGAAGGAAAGCAGAGGCGATGGAGTGCAGGCAACCAGTCTAAGGACAGGGATTAGTGGACATACAAGGAATGGGAACATTTACAGCACAGTCATCAAGAATGTATTTTTTGATGCAAGAGACACTGGCATCCTAAGTGGGAAAGTCATAACTGGGCCAAAAGGTGGAGTGCTCCATTTCAAGAGCAATATACCGAGACCAACATAGAAGGCAGGAGTGGGTGTATGATGAAATTAAAAATGGCATTCAAATTTAAGAACTAGTTGTCCCCGCCGGGGACACAAACCTTGCTTGAGGCGTACAGGTAATCTCACGTGCAAATCGTACCTTTCAGCGTTCAAGCACAGTACATATATTATCGAAGCTGCTCTATCACAACGCAACCCGACTACAAGTGGTTCAAACCACACGAACATACATTATCGATAAAAATAGACGACTCGGTCCTCAGTCTTTCACCTGGCCCGCGGTCCTTGCCACCTTAGAAGGCCCTGCTTTGGCATTCTGTGTACTAGCACGCCGTTTGCCGTTGGTGTTAACCGGCTCTGCTCGCAAAACGGTTGGTCAGCGTTCAGTCACATTCGAACTGTACACACACCTTTCAACGGCTGTCCCTCTTCCTCAAAGGTGAATGAGGTAACCTTTCCAACTGCCTTCGACCTCTCACCCACGACCTCAGATCCCGGCTGCGTCACCGGGTAAGTATCTACTTGTTGTACAGACGAGACCGCGCCCACTGTAAATTTTAGTTACGGGCGTAGTTAGTACATGGAATGGGATGATAGTAATCTCCAACCTTGCGCTGGTTCAGGTCCAACTGCGCTCTGAGGACACACTTCGTTGAGGTCGCAAGTACGCCGAGGATCACCTTACGAACTGTGAGTGGAGAGCCTTCTCGCAATGAGCATCACGTACCGTCTGTATTTGCGCCAAAGGACGTAGGTGTTTTGGGCTGAACCGGAAGCTTATCAGTGGCATCCGCAGCACTTGATTGTTCGATATCCTTAACCGCGACAGGTGGAGGAACACCACAAGCAGTTGCAGTTGAACCATCTTCATTCCCGAGTTAGCCTCGGTGTCCATCGTGGAAGAGAAAAGATCAACATACCAGTACTACCAGTTCGTTCCATCATCATAGACCCCGTCGCGCACTCCACAGTACTGTGTTCATCCCTCGCGTTCTTCTGGTCGGCATTGGGGGTGTTGTACACCATAGGCTGACGGCCTGCGACGTGCATTTGCCCACCACGATCATAGTACTCTGCAGCCAATGGGTACTCCGGCAACCCGTCCAGACGACGTCGAGGCACGTGCTCAATAACTTTCCTGTTCAAAAGTGGCAAGGTGACAGGCAGAGCCAAACCATCACCCCCAGTACTCGCCGTTGATCCGACACTGTAATCACGGCGTTCGGTCGGTATCATCCAAGTGGGCGCAGGCAGAGGGGAAATCGGCTGCCACGCTACAGGAAGCGTTGTAGGAGCCAGGGCGTCGGACCTAGAAAGGATGACGATGTTGACCAGATCGGCGGCAAACCCAGTTGGTTTGGCCTTGTTCCACCTCCAAGACTTCAGGTTAAACGAAGCCAGTACAGTAGCACCAGTCAGAGCACTCTGCACATCTACTTCAGGAATAAGACGCCCAGTATGATCCCTGACATCCAGCCTGGTTAAGAAACAGTCATTTGCGACTTCCAACCATTGCACATCATCCTTCTCGTCAGCAGGAGCAACATCCATGATACGGGCTAAAAACAAGTACTTAGACAGATAGCAGCTATTGCAACACGTTACTAACAATCTTTTGGTTGTCCCGCTTGTAAGTTCTACACGCGTTGTCAGTAGTTGTCACCCGAGTGACGAACAAAGTCATACCGCAAACACATAGCTGCCAACACGTAGAACGGGACTTGCAGATTCCGCAGTACCCTTTTGCCACAAATGCTCAGAGGGCCCTCCTCTAGTTTGAAGGTTAACCAGGTGACTGAGCTTCAACACAGCTGTTGCATAGTCAGTTGCAAAAATCTCTGAGAGACCGCATCAGAAACGACTTTGAACAGTGAACAGACAACCCACGCACTGTCTTTCGGGGCAGTAAGGCACAAAGTGCGGCGAATGCTACGGAGCTTGAAGCTCTTATTCTCCTTTCGCCTTCCACCCAGGATACCTGTATAATTACCGTATGTGTATACCTTGGCCACGATCTCCAAAGTAACCGGTGATGCACAACCATTGACTGCAGGACCGGTCCAACGGTGCATGCCATCATCTTCAACCCACGCCCCATGGCCGGGTGCAACGTTCAAGTCACTGCCAAGGTAAGTGTCCCGACCATGCAAATTGGAACGGAGCAAAGCAAGAGCGGAACGATCCATTACTGTAGAAAGTAGGCATTACAACGACGGCTGAAAGATTGATGAATGACTTACTGTGGACACACAGTGCTGCAGTCTACAGTGTCTGTGTACGAAACGTCGTTAAACGCAAGCAATTCACACTCACCTTTATACTGAAGGGGGTGACTGCATGTTGACCCGAAATACCTGCATTGTGCACGGTACGAAGTGGCCGCCGCTGTAAGAGGTGTCTAAACAGATGGGGTGTACAGCGGATAGTCAGAGGGGTCATTCACCGCAGCATGATCGAACAAACGGCGACCGTCATTTGCCAATATGCGTACAATAGCAGTAGTTAGTGGCCGCCATGTACAGTCTCGGCCCAGATTATTCGAAGGAAAGACCAAGACACACACCGCTAAAAACTAAGTTCCAACCTAAAAAATACACCCGAGTGTGCCACGGCCACCATTGACAGGAACAGCTTCAAAAGGAACAGGAACGCCTACACGTTGAATCCGGTTGTGCGCGATTGGAAGTGGCCGCCCGTTTGAAGGGGGTGTACAGCGGGCACACACGGCGCTGATGAACAGGTGTGTGATCGAACTGAGAGCTACCGTCAATTGCCAATGTGAGAACAATCGTTGGCATTAGTGGCCGCCATGTTCCAAAAATCTAGTCTGAAGCTAAATAATCCACCTGACTGTGCCTTTGGCAGCAACCGATGTAAAAGCACTGACACCCGGCGTACGAGTAGAACCGGTAACGCTGAGCTTGAGAGCTGGGCGCCGGCCATGGACCTAATGTGATGGAACGGTTTGATGCAGACATGAAAAAAAAGTCATGTATCATTCGAGAGGCAAAGAAGATGAAAGAACGACACATGTATAGTCAACAGGCGCGAGTAAATAGTCTCTCCTGCACATTACAGAATAGTAAGCCACATACATACCACAGACGCAGAACCGATTAGGTTGTACACTGCCCACTACTATCAACCACATCCAAGGCAAAGAGGGTCTTGCTCGGAGAAGAGGTTCTGATCACGACAGAGAGACAACGTGTCGAGGGGTTGCGGTATGTGCGCAGAGCACGTAAAAACGAATCACGGTGTTGCAACCTCAGTCGTTTTGAATATGGGGTGCAGAGGGTGACCTCGACTTTCGTCAGGGACGTAAAACAGAGCAAGATAGTCGAATAAAAATTAAAAGCATGGTTCGGGGCGACGGGTTGGGAAGACTGCAAAGGCGTCAAAAAAACCTAACATATAAGCAAAGCTATACGCACAGTAACTGCCGATTCACAATCCAGAAAACTCACATTCAACACAGCCAGCCCCGGTACATAGTCACTGATTGTTTGCAATTCGTGTGAATCGTAACCAATAGGACTTGGCAGACGCAGTTCACGCAACCAGTAGCACGTCTGCAATACTTGACATGCCACATCTCTGAACAGTAAGACAGCCGTGGGGCCAGTCAAGGTCAACACCGTAAGCTTCGTGCTTAACGCAGTAGCAACAACCACAGCTGAATCCGAAGTGCCGATGAAAGAGTGCACATTTGTCAACACGCTTCCAGCTCGAATCAGGTCAACCAGCTGACCCTCATTAGAAATACCACAATAACCAAGTGTAGTAATCGCGGGGTGTCGCCTGAAGAAGGCCGTAAGTGAGATATCACCATAAATTTCACCAAATACAAAACAGGTTAGGAATGGGAAGTTGATTGTTTCACTATCAAAAACCATTTGTATTTCGCGGACGTCCTCATCGCTGACCACGGGTGGAATATTGAGTTCCAGTGATTTGAGATTTTGAAGTCGAGATGGGAGCACCGCGATGAGGTTGGTGATAACGGAATATGAAGCTGATCCATTAATGGGTCAGTTGGACTCTGATACAATAGAGAAGCATTAAGCCTACGCGGGTTGTCTGCCTGTGTCCAATCCAATGTGATACTCTCCGTGGTATGTGACAGCAAGTTAAGCTAATCACAGAATGAGTGAATTTCAGGCAGACTACAAACCTGCAACCCACCTCGTTCGACATAGGCGCATTGTGAAGACTGACGGTACCCGGCACACTCAGAGGGCACTGCAGAACAAGGTGGCGGACGAATAGCGAAGTAGGAACATAGTCCTCACACAAGTCAAAAACACCATAGGTTTCCGAGGTGTACGAGAATAAGTCAAGGGTGCGATGAGAGTTGTTGTGTTCGACGTTAAAGAGGGCCCCTTTCAATGATCGACGCACGATTTCCTCCTCGTCATCAGCAGACACAGTTATTTCCCTAACAAAAGACACAGGACTCTGTCCCATTATTTGAGACAGAAGGAGAGCATTGGAAGCCAATGTCGGTAGACCTAAAGTATGAACAGTGCGGTAAAGAGTTGGAGTGGCAACAGCAGCAAAGTGTTTGCAGCTCAGGCTGAATGAGCACAATGCTGCTTTGTCGTCTGCGAGGTATGAAGTTACGCCGGCCAGAATCTCATTCGGGAATGTTGCCAAGTTGGTCGACATGATGGTGGGGAACGAAGTAAGCACTTTGGCGCACATTCCCACGGAAAGACTTTAAGGTAGCAGTAGCTGTACATAGTAATACACAGATACAAACATCGCCTTTCCCTAAACCCATGCACATTTATGAGAAGAAACTGAGCCTGAGTGACTGATAATCGTCCGCCGTTAATGTCTCAGGTCTATTGCAGCCATTTTCCCCACCGCTCACCCAAGAAAAAACAGCCAAAGACCCAGCATCTGTCGTAAATGGGGAGTAAACACGGATTGACTGCAGTGGGCTGGGAATCGGCAACGAAGACAAGCCCACTTGAACGGCATCACGTATTTCGGTAGCATCACCCGAGGTCATAATCACTAGTGTTTTGAGATTGGGTAGGTTGTACAGCAAGACACTGAATACGTTAATTCGTCGGCCGGCCTGCAGATTGAAAGTGAATTCGAGAAATGCAAAATAGTGCGAACATATACACGCCATGCACACCACTGATGCGACAGAGAAAAGGAAAGATGTTGAAGGCCTGGTGCTGCAGTTGCCAATGTCTCAATATGCCGAAACAGAAAACCACCGCGAGTGAGGAGTCGCAATGTGACAACTGAACGAGACAGCGATGTGGAATTGATAAGGTCGTGCCATTGAATAGCAGATGGTCGTTGACCTCGAATGACGACTGAACTCAATTGAGAAGCAGGGTAGCTCAGCAGGTGACTAACAGCACAGACACCTCCCTCGAAATGTTGGAGGTCAGGCACATCGGGACCACAGATGAGCCCACGATACATGCGAGCGACATAGATGAATGAATGTAGCGTGCGATGACGAGCAACAAAGTTGGAAGGTTCGAAGACACCCCTGCAGTCACTGAAGAAGAACAGGTTGAGCTCGATGAAGACAAAATCATCGGAATCTAAGAGCTTCTGCAACCGTTGGTGCGGGTGTTCGACAAACTTTTGGTCAAGTTTCAGTAGGAGGCAGTGCAGGTTACGCGCAACGTATGCGGTATGTTGCAACAATTTCGCCACTGTCGCATAATCTACTGCTCATCTAGGAGTTAGCTAATCCTCGTCAGCTGTAAGAAAAAACGCACCAGGTCGTTTTACAGCTTGTAGGTCCAGCGAAAAAGAGGTCAGGAACTTTGAAGTCAACTCAGCCTAAACGATGCACCATAAACATGAACAATGTAATTATGTCTAGATTCTCACCATCAGGCGACCCGAAAGCCGACGATCCACAGAACCCGAGGCACAAGACAAAGAAATCTGTCCAATATTCATCAAAGAATTTGGGATTGTCGAAGGAAGGATGTCGCCGATGGACAGATCTGGACTAACAAGTGTAAGGCTCCTAATGGCCTTGTCGTTGTTGTACTTGGCTAGATTGACCATGGCACGTCGGAGCAAAACAACAGAGGCAGGGGAAATTGTCGGGAGTACAAACACAACCTCTTCGACCATTGCACATGGATGAGGTGCGTGAGTATGTTGTCCAATCCACGAATCCGCGGCCAATGCGTACAGCATGTTGCAGTCAACCGATACGTACAAGAGAGGTTGCAATGTAGTATGTAATGTGCGAGAAGTGTTTCCAAGATGTACCAACGTCTTGCGACCCTCACCAAACTCGGCGACAAGTGAAAGGATGTCGGCGCCCAACTGTTCCATGATAGAGGACGTGATTTGCAAGTCAAGATGCGGCGTCACAGGAAACAGGTGAGGTGCTAGATACGAAGCCAGGGTGATACTTGTGGGGGTTAATCGAATAGCATGACCCGAATTCAACTGTCAGTACAAGTAATTGCAGGACTGAGGAACCCACAACGGCCGCCCCCCTGATAGCTAAGACCAAACCCCAAGTTTTTGGAGACAATCGGGACACCAGGACGCCATTTCAGCGGAACTTAACGAACCGGGTTAGTCACAGACGTATTAGGGGCGGTGGATGCGTACATACAATGCGATCATGTAAGCTGTACAAGATGGTGAGCATGCTATGTGATTGCAACTGTGTTAAGATCATGTACACCGTGTAACCGTGCCAAAGTCACAAGGTGTCTAAGTGCGGAAGACGAGTGGGACAGTAGTGAAGTTATTAACAACACCGCCGTTACGCCGTTAGTCCCCGGAGAGCGAGAGTAGAGAGAGAGGAGCTAAGTAGCAGCCAGGTTGGAGCGGCGGTATCGCCGATGACGAGGAGCGAACCTAGAGGACGCCTAAGTCCTAAGGTTATAATAGGGAGTACTCCAAGGCGTTGAGCCTGAAGACTTAGAGAAGAGTTAAGTTGAGAAGGGAGATCTAAGTTGATCTAAGTTGATAATTAAACTAAGGAACTACAGTAGCGTACAGGCAGTATTTATATCTACGGAGCGGCGCATCGGTGCGGAGCGCCAGACTAACTACTAGGAGCTATACGAGTAGTACCTGCAGGGTAGAGTAAAAGACAATAAGGAGAGACTAGAACGAAAGAGTAAAAGACAATAATGAGAGACTAGGACGAAAGGATATGTGTAGCGAGAAAGAACAATAGGAAGAGATTACAATAAAAGCAGATCTTCGGAATACCGAGCGGCGGAATGGAGGCCCGCGGTATGGACTTGACAGTATCCCCCTCTTAGGCTTGAGCCCTCGAAAGCCATTAATACCGGGAGTTGGTTAGTCACCAAAGAAAAATTTTAAAGGCCGTCAGCATCGGGGATTTGGCCCATCAGTCAGCAGGAAAATTTTTGAAAGCCGTTGGTACCGGGAATTGGCGTTAGTCATCAGTGAAAATTTTCGGTTCACCGTACACCAAGTACAATTCGAAGGAAAATTTTCGCTGGTCCGTGCGCAGTTTTGCCGTATAAAAGGCCCCGAGTTTCGCCGATAAGACCCAAGTTTCCAAAATCTTCTAAGTCAAAAGATGTCCGCTAGCCGCACCACCACTACCACCGTTACTTCTGCTACTACCGCTGGGCCTTCGAGGTCCCGAACGACAAATCCGCCACCCGCCGACACTGTAGACAACGACGAGGAGGAGTTGGAAGAAGACGATGATGAGGCCATCCGGCGGGCGGAGGAGAAGGTCCGCAGGATGAAGGCGAGAGAAGCGGCGGCGGCGGCGAAAAAGAAGGCCGAGGAAGAGGCAGCTAGGAAAGCTGCTGAGGAGGCGCAGAGGCAGAAGGAGGCGGCAGCGCGGGAGTTAGAGGAACGTCGGAGGGTAATGGCGGCAATGATGACGATGAAGACGACGATGAGCGAGTTCCCTGCGAACGATGCAGGAACAAGAAGATCCCTTGCCAGATGCAGGCTGGCAAGAGGAGTTCAATTATTTGCAAACCCTGTCACGACGCTAAGGTCAGATGCTCGTACTCCGGGCGGCCTTCGACGGTGAAGCGAGAGGGGGGAGGACAACCGATCGGCGAGCGCCTGGCGATCTTGGAGAGCCAGATGGCTCAGCTGCTGGCAGACAACCGGCAGCTTCGAGAGGGCCAGTTGAAGGACAACACCTACAACCGCCATATCAACTGCAAGTTGGACTGGTTGATGACGGACGCCGCGAGAAGGAGGAAAACACCACCGGAGATGCCGGAACCAGGACCTTCGCGGCTGCCGAAGAAGAGGAGAAGGGCCGTGGATAGTGAGGAGGAAGAAGAGGATAGGAGGATGGGAGAAGAAGAGGATGGAGAAGGAGAGGAGGAGGTAGAGGAAGAGGGAGAACCGGCGCCGAAGAAGGCCCGGTCGGAGAAAGGGAAGGAGAGAGCGGAGTAGAGTAACATCGGACATCGGACATCGGCCTTCGGCCATCTTCTTGTACTCTTCTTGTTGCCCTGCCTTCGTTATATAATTTTGTTTTTTGGACTTTGTATATATAAAAAAATGTTAACTCGATTTTGAAATCGGAAAGCGAATGGGCCGCGAAGCGGCGTAAGAAGTAATTAGTACGAAGTGTAATTAGTCTAAGTGTGAAAGAAATATAAGTGAAATAGTAGATAGAAGGAGAATGTAAGCAATTAAGAGAAAGAGATAAACACTCAATTTGCTATCATCGTGTTTATCCTCTAAACGCACAAAGTAGACTTCGGCGGAGCGCGGCGAAAAAGGGAAATGGAATAAAATGATTTTTTGTGATCAAGGTCCAGGTTTGTGAGGGTATCGGGCGTGGAACGCCGGTACAAGTTCGTCAGCATGTAATTCATCAGCAGCAACCCAAGAGAACTCATCATCAGTACCTTCGTAACCGGCCCACCGAATGTAATAACGTAGAGGACAACGTTTATACCTTCTGTCCAGCTTGGAGTCGAGGATTTCGGCAACGTTGTACTCCTCTTCACCATCAACTTCAATTGGAGGTGGAGGAGATTGAGTACGATTCGGGAACGGGTTCGGCGTAACCGGCTCCAGCTGTGAGACGTGGAATACCGGGTGAATTCGGCGAAGATAGTCTGGGAGCTTGAGCTCATAAGACAAAGTACCAGGTCGACTGATGACCTTGAAAGGGCCAAGATATTTTTCTGAGAATTTTTCAGTAGGACGGGTAGAACGAATGTGCTTAGCAAGAACGAATACTTCGGAGCCGATCGGGAACTCCGGGTGCGAGATTCTTTTTCTGTCAGCTTGTTCCTTGTAACGAGACTGAGCTAAAAGGATTTCCTCTCGAAGGAAGACGTGGAGTTCATCGAGATTGACGACGAAGTCTCTGGCTAGATCAGACTTCATGTCGACCTCGGGCCGAACGGTGATATTTGGGTGGTATCCTTTGTTAGCAAAGAATGGAGTAATACCAGTGGAAGCATTGGGAGCGTTGTTATAGGCGAACTCGGCGATCGGAAGTAAAGGCGACCAGTCATCTTGTTGGTAGGAACAATAGATCCTGATGTACTGTTCGAGAGTCTGATTGACACGCTCAGTTTGCCCATCGGCTTCCGGATGGTATCCAGAGGTATAGTGAAGTTCCATGGAGAGCGCTTTACCGAGAGCCCGGAAGAACGCCGAAACAAATTCGGAACCACGATCGGAAGTAACATGATTAGGAACACCATGCTTAGAGAAAACGTGAATAACAAAAAGCTCAGCTAGATGTTCGGAAGTAATGGTGTCGTGAGTTGGAATAAATATAGCCTGTTTGGAAGATCGATCCACGACGACGAGGATAGCTGTATAGCCATTCGACATTGGCAGTTGCTCAATGAAGTCCATAGAGATGGAGTCCCAGGGTCGGACCGGAACCGGCAAAGGTTTCAACAAGCCGTAAGGCCGGTGACGGCGGGGCTTATTGCGACCACAGATAGTGCAAGAGGTAACGTAGTCACGAACAAAGTCTCTGACCTTGGGCCAGGTGTATTGACGACGTACAGCTTCTAGAGTGCGGTTCTGGCCGAAATGGCCGGAGAGTGGATGATCATGGAAATAACGAAGGACTTGAAGGCGAAGGTCGCCGTGATTCGGAACATAAATACGGTCGTCAAGGCATAGTAGCTTGTCGCTACCTAAGCTCCAACGTTCATTGGAAGGATCTTTAGCAAGTTCCAGACCAGCAACGGAGCTCGGGTCGGCGGGAAGGGCGAGGATGATGGCTTGGTGTAGGGCTTCGATATCCATGATAATCGAGGCTCGTAAAACCGGGCCTTCCAAGAAGGTAGCTCGAAGAGACGCAGTGAGTTGTTCGTTAGTAAATATAGGACAGAAGTTATGAGGGTTCACTTGGGCGTAGCCGATATCCCCCTCTTTAGGGTAGACGTCCCAGCGTCTAGTTATCGAGTCGGGTTTCTCGCCGAGTTTCCCCGGCCGGAAGCGAATGACCATATTAAATTGGTGTAAAAATTCTGACCATCGGACCTGTCGGCGTGTAAGAACCTTGGTAGTAGAGAAATACTCAAGATTCTTGTGATCGGTGACGACGTCCACCGGATCACCCGAGCCTTCCAGATAGTGATGCCAAGCTTTAAAGGCCTCGAAGATGGCCAGTAGCTCTTTGTCGTGGGTATCGCAGTTGAGTTCCGCCGCATGAAGCGTTCTGGAAAGGAAGGCTAGAGGATGAATTTCACCGTCAGCATATTGGATGGAAAGAATAGCCGCAATGGCGTAATCGGAAGCGTCGGTTTCCACGATAAGTGGGCGATTCGGCTCCCAATGGGCCAGTATTGGCGCAGAAGTGAAAGCGATTTTGAGATTTTCGAAGGCCTCTTGACAGCTGCTGTCCCAGATCCAGGAAGCGCCTTTTCGGGTAAGCCGAGTCATCGGCACAACAATATCACTGTAATTATAAATAAAACGACGATAGAAGTTTGCAAAACCCAAGAAGGACTGAATGTCCTTAACCTTCCTCGGGACCGGCCACTCTAGAACTGTTTGAACTTTCTCCTTGGACATAGTCAATCCGTCGGGAGAAAGAATATAACCCAAATACTCAACAGTATCCATATTGAATTCGCACTTGTCGGGGTTGGCGTAAAGCCGATGTTTCCGTATCCGCCGAAGAACTTCCTTAACGTGTTCTCGGTGTTCTTCTGGCGTATCAGAGTAGATTAGAATATCGTCAAGATAGACGATGACACAAACATCGAGCATGTCAGAGAAGATGTCATTAACAAACCGCTGGAAAGCCGCAGGGGCGTTCGTAAGGCCGAACGGCATGACCTTCCATTCGTAAGAGCCGTAGCGGGTCCGAAAGGTGGTTTTCCATTCGT